ATTTTGTGTTGTGTGTTGGCTGGTGTGTGGGATTTTGTGTGGGGTGTTGGCTGGTGTGTGGGATTTTGTGTTGGGTGTTGGCTGGTGTGTGGGATTTTGTGTGGGGTGTTGGCTGGTGTGTGGGATTTTGTGTGGGGTGTTGGCTGGTGTGTGGGATTTTGTGTTGTGTGTTGGCTGGTGTGTGGGATTTTGTGTGGGGTGTTTGCTGGTGTGTGGGATTTTGTGTTGGGTGTTGGCTGGTGTGTGGGATTTTGTGTGGGGTGTTGGCTGGTGCGTGGGATTGTGTGTGGGGTGTTGGCTGGTGTGTGGGATTTTGTGTGGGGTGTTGGCTGGTGTGTGGGATTTTGTGTTGTGTGTTGGCTGGTGTGTGGGATTTTGTGTGGGGTGTTGGCTGGTGTGTGGGATTTTGTGTGGGGTGTTGGCTGGTGTGTGGGATTTTGTGTGGGGTGTTGGCTGGTGTGTGGGATTTTGTGTGGGATGTTGGCTGGTGTGTGGGATTTCGTGTGGGGTGTTGGCTGGTGTGTGGGATTTTGTGTTGTGTGTTGGCTGGTGTGTGGGATTTTGTGTGGGGTGTTGTCTGGTGTGTGGGATTTTGTGTGGGGTGTTGGCTGGTGTGTGGGATTTTGAGTTGTGTGTTGTCTGGTGTGTGGGATTTTGTGTGGGGTGTTGGCTGGTGTGTGGGATTTTGTGTTGTGTGTTGGCTGGTGTGTGGGATTTTGTGTTGTGTGTTGGCTGGTGTGTGGGATTTTGTGTTGGGTGTTGGCTGGTGTGTGGGATTTTGTGTTGTGTGTTGGCTGGTGTGTGGGATTTTGTGTGGGGTGTTGGCTGGTGTGTGGGATTTTGTGTGGGGTGTTGGCTGGTGTGTGGGATTTTGTGTTGTGTGTTGGCTGGTGTGTGGGATTTTGTGTTGTGTGTTGGCTGGTGTGTGGGATTGTGTGTGGGGTGTTGGCTGGTGTGTGGGATTTGTGTGGGGTGTTGGCTGGTGTGTGGGATTTTGTGTGGGGTGTTGGCTGGTGTGTGGGATTTTGTGTGGGGTGTTGGCTGGTGTGTGTGATTTTGTGTGGGGTGTTGGCTGGTGTGTGGGATTTTGTGTTGTGTGTTGGCTGGTGTGTGGGATTTTGTGTGGGGTGTTGGCTGGTGTGTGGGATTTTGTGTGGGGTGTTGGCTGGTGTGTGGGATTTTGTGTGGGGTGTTGGCTGGTGTGTGGGATTTTGTGTTGTGTGTTGGCTGGTGTGTGGGATTTTGTGTGGGGTGTTGGCTGGTGTGTGGGATTTTGTGTTGTGTGTTGGCTGGTGTGTGGGATTTTGTGTTGGGTGTTGGCTGGTGTGTGGGATTTTGTGTGGGGTGTTGGCTGGTGTGTGGGATTTTGTGTGGGGTGTTGGCTGGTGTGTGGGATTTTGTGTTGTGTGTTGGCTGGTGTGTGGGATTTTGTGTGGGGTGTTGGCTGGTGTGTGGGATTTTGTGTTGTGTGTTGGCTTGTGTGTGGGATTTTGTGTGGGGTGTTGGCTGGTGTGTGGGATTTTGTGTTGTGTGTTGGCTGTTGTGTGGGATTTTGGTTGGGGTGTTGGCTGGTGTGTGGGATTTTGTGTTGGGTGTTGGCTGGTGTGTGGGATTTTGTGTGGGGTGTTGGCTGGTGTGTGGGATTGGTTGTGGGGTGTTGGCTGGTGTGTGGGATTTTGTGTGGGGTGTTGGCTGGTGTGTGGGATTTTGTGTTGGGTGTTGGCTGGTGTGTGGGATTTTGTGTGGGGTGTTGGCTGGTGTGTGGGATTGTGTGTGGGGTGTTGGCTGGTGTGTGGGATTTTGTGTTGGGTGTTGTCTGGTGTGTGGGATTTTGTGTGGGGTGTTGGCTGGTGTGTGGGATTTTGTGTTGTGTGTTGGCTGGTGTGTGGGATTTTGTGTTGGGTGTTGGCTGGTGTGTGGGATTTTGTGTGGGGTGTTGGCTGGTGTGAGGGATTTTGTGTTGTGTGTTGGCTGGTGTGTGGGATTTTGTGTTGGGTGTTGGCTGGTGTGTGGGATTTTGTGTGGGGTGTTGGCTGGTGTGTGGGATTTTGTGTGGGGTGTTGGCTGGTGTGTGGGATTTTGTGTGGGGTGTTGGCTGGTGTGTGGGATTTTGTGTTGTGTGTTGGCTGGTGTGTGGGATTGTGTGTGGGGTGTTGGCTGGTGTGTGGGATTTTGTGTGGGGTGTTGGCTGGTGTGTGGGATTTTGTGTGGGGTGTTGGCTGGTGTGTGGGATTTTGTGTGGGGTGTTGGCTGGTGTGTGGGATTTTGTGTGGGGTGTTGGCTGGTGTGTGGGATTTTGTGTTGTGTGTTGGCTGGTGTGTGGGATTTTGTGTGGGGTGTTGACTGGTGTGTGGGATTTTGTGTGGGGTGTTGGCTGGTGTGTGGGATTTTGTGTGGGGTGTTGGCTGGTGTGTGGGATTTTGTGTGGGGTGTTGGCTGGTGTGTGGGATTTTGTGTTGTGTGTTGGCTGGTGTGTGGGATTTTGTGTGGGGTGTTGGCTGGTGTGTGGGATTTTGTGTGGGGTGTTGGCTGGTGTGTGGGATTTTGTGTTGTGTGTTGGCTGGTGTGTGGGATTTTGTGTTGTGTGTTGGCTGGTGTGTGGGATTGTGTGTGGGGTGTTGGCTGGTGTGTGGGATTTTGTGTGGGGTGTTGGCTGGTGTGTGGGATTTTGTGTGGGGTGTTGGCTGGTGTGTGGGATTTTGTGTGGGGTGTTGGCTGGTGTGTGGGATTTTGTGTGGGGTGTTGGCTGGTGTGTGGGATTTTGTGTTGTGTGTTGGCTGGTGTGTGGGATTTTGTGTGGGGTGTTGGCTGGTGTGTGGGATTTTGTGTGGGGTATTGGCTGGTGTGTGGGATTTTGTGTGGGGTGTTGGCTGGTGTGTGGGATTTTGTGTGGGGTGTTGGCTGGTGTGTGGGATTTTGTGTGGGGTGTTGGCTGGTGTGTGGGATTTTGTGTGGGGTGTTGGCTGGTGTGTGGGATTTTGTGTTGTGTGTTGGCTGGTGTGTGCGATTTTGTGTGGGGTGTTGGCTGGTGTGTGGGATGTTGTGTTGGGTGTTGGCTGGTGTGTGGGATTTTGTGTGGGGTGTTGGCTGGTGTGTGGGATTTTGTGTGGGGTGTTGGCTGGTGTGTGGGATTTTGTGTGGGGTGTAGGCTGGTGTGTGGGATTTTGTGTGGGGTGTTGGCTGGTGTGTGGGATTTTGTGTGGGGTGTTGGCTGGTGTGTGGGATTTTGTGTTGTGTGTTGGCCGGTGTGTGGGATTTTGTGTGGGGTGTTGGCTGGTGTGTGGGATTTTGTGTGGGGTGTTGGCTGGTGTGTGGGATTTTGTGTTGTGTGTTGGCTGGTGTGTGGGATTTTGTGTTGTGTGTTGGCTGGTGTGTGGGATTGTGTGTGGGGTGTTGGCTGGTGTGTGGGATTTTGTGTTGTGTGTTGGCTGGTGTGTGGGATTTTGTGTGGGGTGTTGGCTGGTGTGTGGGATTTTGTGTGGGGTGTTGGCTGGTGTGTGGGATTTTGTGTGGGGTGTTGGTTGGTGTGTGGGATGTTGTGTAGGGTGTTGGCTGGTGTATGGGATTTTGTGTGGGGTGTTGGCTGGTGTGTGGGATTTTGTGTTGGGTGTTGGCTGGTGTGTGGGATTTTGTGTGGGGTGTTGGCTGGTGTGTGGGATTTTGTGTGGGGTGTTGGCTGGTGTGGGATTTTGTGTTGTGTGTTGGCTGGTGTGTGGGATTTTGTGTGGGGTGTTGGTTGGTGTGTGGGATGTTGTGTAGGGTGTTGGCTGGTGTGTGGGATTTTGTGTGGGGTGTTGGCTGGTGTGTGGGATTTTGTGTGGGGTGTTGGCTGGTGTGTGGGATTTTGTGTGGGGTGTTGGCTGGTGTGTGGGATTTTGTGTTGTGTGTTGGCTGGTGTGTGGGATTTTGTGTGGGGTGTTGGCTGGTGTGTGGGATTTTGTGTGGGGTGTTGGCTGGTGTGTGGGATTTTGTTTTGGGTGTTGGCTGGTGTGTGGGAGTTTGTGTGGGGTGTTGGCTGGTGTGTGGGATTTTTTTTTGGGGTATTGGCTGGTGAGTGGGATTTTGTGTTGTGTGTTGGCTGGTGTGTGGGATTTTGTGTGGGGTGTTGGCTGGTGTGTGGGATTTTGTGTGGGGTGTTGGCTGGTGTGTGGGATTTTGTGTTGTGTGTTGGCTGGTGTGTGGGATTTTGTGTTGTGTGTTGGCTGGTGTGTGGGATTGTGTGTGGGGTGTTGGCTGGTGTGTGGGATTTTGTGTGGGGTGTTGGCTGGTGTGTGGGATTTTGTGTTGGGTGTTGGCTGGTGTGTGGGATTTTGTGTTGTGTGTTGGCTGGTGTGTGGGATTTTGTGTGGGGTGTTGGCTGGTGTGTGGGATTTTGTGTGGGGTGTTGGCTGGTGCGTGGGATTTTGTTTGGGGTGTTGGCTGGTGTGTGGGATTTTGTGTGGGGTGTTGGCTGGTGTGTGGGATTTTGTGTGGGGTGTTGGCTGGTGTGTGGGATTTTGTGTGGGGTGTTGGCTGGTGTGTGGGATTTTGTGTTGTGTGTTGGATGGTGTGTGGGATTTTGTGTGGGGTGTTGGCTGGTGTGTGGGATTTTGTGTGGGTTGTTGGCTGGTGTGTGGGATTTTGTGTGGGGTGTTGGCTGGTGTGTGGGATTTTGTGTTGTGTGTTGGATGGTGTGTGGGATTTTGTGTGGGGTGTTGGCTGGTGTGTGGGATTTTGTGTGGGGTGTTGTTCGGGTGTTGTGTATGTGGGGGAGGGGTTGATTTGTATATGATTTGTGTGGTGTGTTGTGTGTGTGTTGAGTGTGTTGTGTATGTGTGTGTTGTGTACATTGTGTGTTATGTGTGAGTTGTGTGTGTTTTATATGTTATGTGTGAGTTGTGTGTGAGTTACGTGTGTTGTATGTATGTTTTTGTGTCGTGTCTGTTATGTATGTTGTGCGTGTTGTTTATGTTTTTTGTCTTGTGTCTGTTGTGGTTATCGAGCTGGTTGCGGCTACTTACTCTCCCCACACAACAAAGCAACCATTTGACTGGTACATGTCTCCTCCCTGCTCTCAGTCAATGTACAGACAGATTTGATAAACATCTCACACGGGCTGGGTTTTCCCTGGACTTCCAAAGATGTGACAAATTAATGTCAGCCGATTTCATGGTTTTGGTTCAGTTATTTATTCTCTAGCAATATTACATTTGTGAAAAAAAAGTGTTTGAATCGGGCATCACTTTATTGTTTTAATTTATTGAACTAAATCGCTCAAAATGTTATCTTGCTACCAGTTAACACAATGAGCATTATTTAACAGAACTAGAGATGTTTAAACAGAACTGAACATAATCAAACTTACATAGGAAAGAGCCGGTGCTAAACATGTACGCTATGACAGTCACTTGACTAAAAGTTATCGGCTGCTTCATTCCACAAGTGTCTCATCGACCAGACAGGTCCGTCATTATCATCATTCTTTTCTTCTACTACTGTTGGATGTGATGCCAAGTGTAGGCAGGGACATACATCCTCTTTATTGTGTCTGTGTGTCTTTGTTATGACTGTCGGTGTGTCTATGTTTTGTCTGTCGGTTAGTCTTTGTTGTGACTCTCTGTGCGTCTTTGTTGTGTCTCTCTGTGCGTCTTTGTTGTGTCTCTCTGTGCGTCTTTGTTGTGTCTCTCTGTGCGTCTTTGTTGTGTCTCTCTGTGCGTCTTTGTTGTGACTCTCTGTGCGTCTTTGTTGTGTCTCTCTGTGCGTCTTTGTTGTGTCTCTCTGTGTGTCTTTGTTGTATCTGTGTGTCTTTGTTGTGTCTGTGTGTCATTGTTGTGTCTCTCTGTGTGTCTTTGTTGTGTCTGTCTGTGTCATTGTTGTGTCTGTCTGTGTGTCTTTGTTGTGTCTGTCTGTGTGTCTTTGTTGTGTCTGTCCGTGGGTCTTTGTTGTGTCTGTCTGTGTGTCTTTGTTGTGACTCTCTGTGCGTCTTTGTTGTGTCTCTCTGTGCGTCTTTGTTGTGTCTCTCTGTGTGTCTTTGTTGTATCTGTGTGTCTTTGTTGTGTCTGTGTGTCATTGTTGTGTCTCTCTGTGTGTCTTTGTTGTGTCTGTCTGTGTGTCTTTGTTGTGTCTGTCTGTGTGTCCTTGTTGTGTCTTTCTGTGTGTCTTTGTTGTGTCAGTCCGTGGGTCTTTGTTGTGTCTGTCTGTGTGTCTTTGTTGTGTCTGTGTGTCCTTGTTGTGTCTGTCTGTGTGTCTTTGTTGTGTCTGTCCCTGTGTCTTTGTTGTGTCTGTGTGTCATTGTTGTGTCTGTCTGTGTGTCTTTGTTGTGTCTGTCTGTGTGTCTTTGTTGTGTCTGTCCGTGGGTCTTTGTTGTGTCTGTCTGTGTGTCTTTGTTGTGTCTGTCCGTGTGTCTTTGTTGTGTCTCTTTGTGTGTCTTTGTTGTGTCTGTCTGTGCGTCTTTGTTGTGTCTGTCGGTGTGTCTACTTATTTATTTCGTACTCTTTCATGCTATATCCGTGATTTCTATATTTTCTATATTTAACTTTTTTATTTCATTCCCTGTTTATGCATATGGCAGTTGAATGTATTACAATTTATTTCATGCCTAAATGATCCCTATGCCAGTTCAATGTATTACAAGCTTTCAGGACAGGGGTTACTTATTGTGGGAAAAACGACGAATACCTAGGTCAACAAATTAAGTTTAGCACTTTCGTCCATAAACACTTTTACCTGCAGAAAATGATTTTTTGAATAACTTGTTCCTTTAAAATCCAATCAATATTTTGAAACATAGCGCATGATCTAGTGGTTGTGTTTTCTCGTGCTGACATTTTGCACTTAAACATGCGCACAATTTCCGCTGGTCTTCGGCGTAACAAAGAGAGGCGAGGGTAGTGCCTGTCCCAAATTTTTCTATAAGGCTCAGCCACCCCTCCCCCCAATTTTTCTATAAGGCTCAGACCCCCCCCCCCCAAATCTTTCTATAAGGCTCAGACCCCCCAATCTTTCTATAAGGCTCAGACCCCCCCCCCCCCCCAATCTTTCTATAAGGCTCAGACCCCCCAATCTTTCTATAAGGCTCAACCCCCCCAATCTTAATATAAGGCTCAGGCCCCCAATCTTTCATTAAGGCTCAGGCCCCCTCCACCCTCCCCCCCCCCCCCCCGCCCCCAACTTTCTACATGACTCGAGGCCTTAGTACTTTCAAAGCCTGGGAAATCAATCCGTGTTAACGACTTATATTTAACAAATCGCAGCATACCGTCATATTGTTTATGTATTTTCATAAATGATTCAGACTCATAGTTGCTTGAAATCAACCCTGCTCTAACATTTTTCTTACCATTTAAGCTAACTCTTAAAAAGTAAGGAATCCTCTTTAGACCTAGCGATCCATTGGGCAGATGAAGTAGAGATCATATGTTGCTTGACCTCGATATTTTTTAGAAAGTTGTGGTCAGCACTTTGTCCAGCCGCCTTTACTTTCCCTAACGTGAGCTAGGTACCCATTAGAGCTGGGTGGACACTTGGACATTCTACAGACTTGGGCCCAGATGTTTAGGTTAGCAGCGTAACGTTCTAATGCTTGGACCACGCCGTTCCATAAGCTGTCTGGTAACTTGACATAACATTTCAGTATTTTCAATGCACGTAAAGAATCACACAAATATTGAAACAATATGTATGAGCGGCAATGTGTAAATGGTTTTAACATATTAAGTAACAAATCTGGTATTGTTATTAATATTTAAGTTATAAAATACAATGAATAGAGACCTATGCTGATCCAAAAATGAGAAAATAGACCTAAAACAAACAAACCTATTAGTAGGTTCTTTTAATGTTGTTCTTGGATGGGACGGGTGCAGTAGAGTAAACTGAATAGTCCATCATTCAATGGGTCTAATGTACGGAACGTCACATTCCTTCAAGCATAATTTACTAAATATATTTTCAATGAGACCGAAGCGTCAACCAAACCAATACAGGGTTGCTGCCCCTGTTTTTACGAATATTTGACGGACATGCCCAGAAACTGACTTGTATGATGAATGAAACTGTTTCGTTTAAAGCTTTCCTAGGGTTAGGCTCTGACCAAAAGCTGAGTTCTTCGTTATCTCTTCATTATCCTTGCCTGATATTTCATCCATTTCTAGAAGATAGATGAATACATTTCCTTAAACGATTTATAACTTCACCTTAAACATTTATAAATTAATCTGAAAGATTTTTTTTTTCAAACGATTTATAACTTTACAACTTCACCGAAAAGATTTACAACTTTATCTGAAAGATCGATAAATTGTTCTAAAATATTTTTAACTTTACCCTCTGAGATATATAACTTTACAAAACATATTTTACAGATTTAAATAAGAGATTTATAGTTGTACCTATAGATTTAAGTATAAATGCAAATGTTTAGAGTAACAAATTCTGAAACCTAAATAAAGCTACATTACAACACGTGAAAGGTATTTAATCTACCTCCCACGTCAGGCCCTTCCAACTACCAAATCATCAACATGTAATTTAAGCAAGAATTCACGAGTGGCTCGACGTATACTCACCATTAACTTGGACGAATTGTCCAGTCATAGACTCATCCAGTCTCCTGTGGACAAAAGTTGAAAATGTTGTTTTAAAATTTCAACTTGACCAGCGTCCAAAACTTGACCAGCGTCCAAAACTTAACCAGCGTCCAAAACTTGACCACCGTCCAAAACTTGACCACCGTCCAAAACTTGACCAGCGTCCAAAACTTGACCAGCGTCCGAAACTTGACCAGCGTCCAAAACTTGACCAGCGTCCAAAACTTGACCAGCGTCCAAAACTTGACCAGCGTCCAAAACTTGACCAGCGTCTAAAACTTGACCAGCGTCCAAAACTTGACCAGCGTCCAAAACTTGACCAGCGTCCAAAACTTGACCAGCGTCCAAAACTTGACCAGCGTCCAAAACTTGACCAGCGTCTAAAATGCCGTAGTTGCATCATCTGCTCATCTTCTATTCAGTGTCAGGTAGCAAGTCGAGCTGTAAGTCAAGTAACCCTAGACCCAGTCAGGTAGCAAGTCGAGCTGTAAGTCAAGTAACCCTAGACTCTGTCAGGTAGCAAGTCGAGCTGTAAGTCAAGTAACCCTAGACCCAGTCAGGTAGCAAGTCAAGCTGTAAGTCAAGTAACCCTAGACCCAGTCAGGTAGCAAGTCGAGCTGTAAGTCAAGTAACCCTAGACCCAGTCAGGTAGCAAGTCGAGCTGTAAGTCAAGTAACCCTAGACTCTGTGAGGTAGCAAGTCGAGCTGTAAGTCAAGTAACCCTAGACTGTCGGGTAGCAAGTCGAGCTGTAAGTCAAGTAACCCTAGACTCTGTCAGGCAGCAAGTCGAGCTGTAAGTCAAGTAACCCTAGACTCTGTCAGGTAGCAAGTCGAGCTGTAAGTCAAGTAACCCTAGACCCAGTCAGGTAACAAGTCGAGCTGTAAGTCAAGTAACCCTAGACTCTGTCAGGTAGCAAGTCGAGCTGTAAGTCAAGTAACCCTAGACCCAGTCAGGTAGCAAGTCGAGCTGTAAGTCAAGTAACCCTAGACTCTGTCAGGTAGCAAGTCGAGCTGTAAGTCAAGTAACCCTAGACCCAGTCAGGTAGCAAGTCGAGCTGTAAGTCAAGTAACCCTAGACTATGTCAGGTAGCAAGTCGAGCTGTAAGTCAAGTAACCCTAGACTCTGTCAGGTAGCAAGTCGAGCTGTAAGTCAAGTAACCCTAGACTCTGTCAGGTAGCAAGTCGAGCTGTAAGTCAAGTAGCCCTAGACTCTGTCAGGTAGCAAGTCGAGCTGTAAGTCAAGTAACCCTAGACTCTGTCAGGTAGCAAGTCGAGCTGTAAGTCAAGTAACCCTAGACCCAGTCAGGTAGCAAGTCGACCTGTAAGTCAAGTAACCCTAGACTCTGTCAGGTAGCAAGTCGACCTGTAAGTCAAGTAACCCTAGACTCTGTCAGGTAGCAAGTCGAGCTGTAAGTCAAGTAACCCTAGACTCTGTCAGGTAGCAAGTCGAGCTGTAAGTCAAGTAACCCTAGACTCTGTCAGGTAGCAAGTCGAGCTGTAAGTCAAGTAACCCTAAACCCAGTCAGGTAGCAAGTCGAGCTGTAAGTCAAGTAACCCTAGACTCTGTCAGGTAGCAAGTCGAGCTGTAAGTCAAGTAACCCTAGACCCAGTCAGGTAGCAAGTCGAGCTGTAAGTCAAGTAACCCTAGACCCAGTCAGGTAGCAAGTCGAGCTGTAAGTCAAGTAACCCTAGACCCAGTCAGGTAGCAAGTCGACCTGTAAGTCAAGTAACCCTAGACCCAATCAGGTAGCAAGTCGACCTGTAAGTCAAGTAACCCTAGACTCTGTCAGGTAGCAAGTCGAGCTGTAAGTCAAGTAACCCTAAACCCAGTCAGGTAGCAAGTCGAGCTGTAAGTCAAGTAACCCTAGACTCTGTCAGGTAGCAAGTCGAGCTGTAAGTCAAGTAACCCTAGACCCAGTCAGGTAGCAAGTCGAGCTGTAAGTCAAGTAACCCTAGACCCAGTCAGGTAGCAAGTCGAGCTGTAAGTCAAGTAACCCTAGACCCAGTCAGGTAGCAAGTCGACCTGTAAGTCAAGTAACCCTAGACCCAATCAGGTAGCAAGTCGACCTGTAAGTCAAGTAACCCTAGACTCTGTCAGGTAGCAAGTCGAGCTGTAAGTCAAGTAACCCTAAACCCAGTCAGGTAGCAAGTCGAGCTATAAGTCAAGTAACCCTAGACTCTGTCAGGTAGCAAGTCGAGCTGTAAGTCAAGTAACCCTAGACCCAGTCAGGTAGCAAGTCGAGCTGTAAGTCAAGTAACCCTAGACCCAGTCAGGTAGCAAGTCGAGTCTTGATGTGTAGATCGACCTTATGGATTACACCCGGAACCACCATACAAACAGTGTACACTGGGTACATACAGAATACATACCTAGTACTCTAGCTACATACATACACACATAGTACTCCAGATACACACATACATTCATAGTATATGTATACATACAATACATATATAGAACTCTAGGTACATACATATATACATGCATAGTAATGTAAATGCAGATGTACATAATACACTGAAACATACATACACAAAACACTAAACAATAGATACATACATAAATACATAGTTTACTACAAGGGAAACCCCCCCCCCCCCACGAAAGTTACCCCCACCCTGACATCCCCCCCCCCAATCCCCGACATTACCCCCTGAGTAAATACCACCTGTCAATTACCCCGCGCCCAGTAGGACGTTACCCCCACGAACATGGCTAAAGGTACAGCTAGGGTTAGGAATAAGGGTTAGGGCTATGGTTATGATTATGGTTAGCGCCAAGGCCAGGGCCAGGGCCAGGGCTAGGGCCAGTGGCGGAACTAGACAAAAGGGCCACCCCGCAAATACATTTTTGGGCCCCATATATATATATATATATATATGGGAGCCGGACGTTTTCCCGAAAGACACTTAGTATTAGTATTAGTATTAGTATTAGTATTAGTATTAGTATTGGTATTGGTATTGGTATTGGTATTGGTATTGGTATTGGTATTGGTATTGGTATTGGTATTGGTATTGGTATTGGTATTGGTATTGGTATTGGTATTGGTATTGGTATTGGTATTGGTATTGGTATTGGTATTGGTATTGGTATTGGTATTGGTATTGGTATTGGTATTGGTATTGGTATTGGTATTGGTATTGGTATTGGTATTGGTATTGGTATTGGTATTGGTATTGGTATTGGTATTGGTATTGGTATTGGTATTGGTATTGGTATTGGTATTGGTATTGGTATTGGTATTGGTATTGGTATTGGTATTGGTATTGGTATTGGTATTGGTATTGGTATTGGTATTGGTATTGGTATTGGTATTGGTATTGGTATTGGTATTGGTATTGGTATTGGTATTGGTATTGGTATTGGTATTGGTATTGGTATTGGTATTGGTATTGGTATTGGTATTGGTATTGGTATTGGTATTGGTATTGGTATTGGTATTGGTATTGGTATTGGTATTGGTATTGGTATTGGTATTGGTATTGGTATTGGTATTGGTATTGGTATTGGTATTGGTATTGGTATTGGTATTGGTATTGGTATTGGTATTGGTATTGGTATTGGTATTGGTATTGGTATTGGTATTGGTATTGGTATTAGTATTAGTATTAGTATTAGTATTAGTATTAGTATTAGTATTAGTATTAGTATTAGTATTAGTATTAGTATTAGTATTAGTATTAGTATTAGTATTAGTAAGTATTAGTAAGTATTAGTATTAGTATTAGTATTAGTATTAGTATTATCATTAGTATTAGTATTAGTATTAGTATTAGTATTAGTATTAGTATTAGTATTAGTATTAGTATTAGTATTAGTATTAGTATTAGTATTAGTATTAGTATTAGTATTAGTATTAGTATTAGTATTAGTATTAGTATTAGTATTAGTATTAGTATTAGTATTAGTATTAGTATTAGTATTAGTATTAGTATTAGTATTAGTATTAGTATTAGTATTAGTATTAGTATTAGTATTAGTATTAGTATTAGTATTAGTATTAGTATTAGTATTAGTATTAGTATTAGTATTAGTATTAGTATTAGTATTAGTATTAGTATTAGTATTAGTATTAGTATTAGTATTAGTATTAGTATTAGTATTAGTATTAGTATTAGTATTAGTATTAGTATTAGTATTAGTATTAGTATTAGTATTAGTATTAGTATTAGTATTAGTATTAGTATTAGTATTAGTATTAGTATTAGTATTAGTATTAGTATTAGTATTAGTATTAGTATTAGTATTAGTATTAGTATTAGTATTAGTATTAGTATTAGTATTAGTATTAGTATTAGTATTAGTATTAGTATTAGTATTAGTATTAGTATTAGTATTAGTATTAGTATTAGTATTAGTATTAGTATTAGTATTAGTATTAGTATTAGTATTAGTATTAGTATTAGTATTAGTATTAGTATTAGTATTAGTATTAGTATTAGTATTAGTATTAGTATTAGTATTAGTATTAGTATTAGTATTAGTATTAGTATTAGTATTAGTATTAGTATTAGTATTAGTATTAGTATTAGTATTAGTATTAGTATTAGTATTAGTATTAGTATTAGTATTAGTATTAGTATTAGTATTAGTATTAGTATTAGTATTAGTATTAGTATTAGTATTAGTATTAGTATTAGTATTAGTATTAGTATTAGTATTAGTATTAGTATTAGTATTAGTATTAGTATTAGTATTAGTATTAGTATTAGTATTAGTATTAGTATTAGTATTAGTATTAGTATTAGTATTAGTATTAGTATTAGTATTAGTATTAGTATTAGTATTAGTATTAGTATTAGTATTAGTATTAGTATTAGTATTAGTATTAGTATTAGTATTAGTATTAGTATTAGTATTAGTATTAGTATTAGTATTAGTATTAGTATTAGTATTAGTATTAGTATTAGTATTAGTATTAGTATTAGTATTAGTATTAGTATTAGTATTAGTATTAGTATTAGTATTAGTATTAGTATTAGTATTAGTATTAGTATTAGTATTAGTATTAGTATTAGTATTAGTATTAGTATTAGTATTAGTATTAGTATTAGTATTAGTATTAGTATTAGTATTAGTATTAGTATTAGTATTAGTATTAGTATTAGTATTAGTATTAGTATTAGTATTAGTATTAGTATTAGTGTTAGTCAGGGGCGGAACTACCATACCGCCAGACCCCGCAATGCGGGAGGGCCCAGGACGTTTAGGGGCCCAGTTCCGACCAAAAAACAAAGAATTTTTTTTTTTCAAAAATTATGTTTTTCATGCATCTTGAAAGTGGTTTTGTAAAAAAAAAAAAAAACAGGTCTACTATAGCAGAGATTGTTGCGTAGAAAAATATTTTAAAATCTACAAGAGCTATAGTTTGAAACGTAGGTAAACATTCACACTACTTCCATGACTTACTGCCCTTCTTTAAAATAGGGATGCCCACAAAGCTCATTTAAATAGTTTTGTACTATGTAAATTAAAAAGCAATAGATTCTCTGAATTATTATTTAAATAAGACGTACTAAACAATGGTATAGCTATAAAAATCAATGTTTTCAAAATTGATATTATAAAAGCCAAAAATGAAAAAAATAAACATAACGCGAGAAACCATTCACGAATCAAGCTTACGACTTTATATATTTTTGACCAGCTTAGTGTGTAGTGGTTATGATAATTTCTAGCCCAAGATGAGTCTGGAAAATTTGTCTGGTTTGTTCTCTCAGAATTGTTATATATTGCAATGAAGTAGACCAAATTACGCAGGGTATAGATTATATATATATATATATATATATATATATATATATACTAGCTGCATCCCGTGCTCCGCCACGGTAAATCTTTTTTAATGTACCAACAGAACAAAACTAAACACCCCTTTCCCCCCCCGCCCTAAAACCTTCGATTTCCACCACCCCCCCCCCCCCCTCGCAAATTTTTTACAACCCACTTTGGCGCCCCCCAAGGTCGGCACCCGGGGACATATGCCCCCCCCCCCCTCGCTACGCCTCTCCTATAAAACCCGAAAGATAGAATAATAATTAGAAAACAGTATAAATAATAGGCAGTATCTATAATATATACAATATTTCACTTTATCGATTCACGCATTTTTTTCCAGTACTTTAAATTTTAAAAATTTACAATAGAGTTTCATAACTAAAACCATTGCGCACCTAATGAACGTGATGACGCGTCTATAATAGTGCTGAATAGTTGATTAAAAATTATAAGTAATAAACAGTAGGGCCTACATTCAGTGAATAAAATACATAAAAGATTGCCTTTTCTCAATCCATGCTAATTATAATTTTCTAACAATAATTTCCTCTTACACATCCGAATAATTTGCATTCACATTTTGCTAATTATATTATTGCAACACTAATTCCTTCTATGACGAACGTATATTTGCATTCACATTTTTTATTAGCGTGAGTTTAATGTATTTTTAAATTACCTCTTTTGTCAAAATTAGAAAAGAGTTAAATTAATTTGATTTTTCTACCCTACTGTTATTATGTTATTAAAATGTATCCACTTTTTCTGATAGGCTAAACGAAAATGATATTTGACATTAATCTTTTTAATACGTTTTAGCAGTTTGCGTGTATTTAATATTTTCTTGACGTTATGCGAAAGAGTAAAAACCGTGACATTTATAAAATAGCTCTATGCCGCTATATAAACAAACCCTACTCTAATACTTATAATAAGACACTGCGGTGCGCTGAAAAGCACAGCATGGTGCGAATGTTTACTTTTATAGTCCCAAAATCTATAGCGATGACGGACGGAAGGAAGGAAGGAAGGAAGGAAGGACAGACACAGCCCGCTTATATTATAGACTAGCTGCATCCCGTGCTCCGCCACGGTAAATCTTTTTTAAATGTACCAACTTGTGAACAGAACAAAACTAAACACAACACAAACGAACGCAAAAAAACAAACGAAAAAACAAACATAACACTCATAACATAAACACAATTTAAATGCAATAAAAAAGGCATATTGCTCACAGTCTAGCCCGTAGCGCCAAATCGCGCCCTTTCCGAGCGCCGCCGGACGCGTCTGACACAGTGAATGACTATAAAACAGAGGCGTAGCGACCCTTTCCGGCGCCCGGGGAATAACTTTCGATTTGACTCCCCCCCCCCCTCAAACTTACGATTTGCACCCCCTCTCCTCAAAATTTCAATTTCCACCACCCCCCCCCCCTCTCCGCAAATTTTTTCCAACCCACTTTGGCGCCCCCTTAGGTCGGCAACCGGGAACATATGTCCCCCCCCCCTCTCTACGCCTCTCCTATAAAACCCCCAGCAGTATTTAAAATATCCGTGTTTTAACTACCATATTATATCACTTTATCAATTCACGCATTTTTTCCCCCAGTACTTTAAATTTTAAAAATTTACAATAGAGTTTCATAACTAAAACCATTGCGCACCCAATGAACGTGATGACGCGTCTATAATAGTGCTTAATAGTTGATTAAAAATTATAAGTAGTAAACATTACATTCAGTGGATAAAATAAATAAAAGATAGCCTTTTATCAATCAATTCTAATTATAATATTCCAACAATAATATACTCTTACACGTCTGCATAATTTGCATTCACATTTTGCTAATTATATTATTCCAACAATTATTCCGTCTTGCAGATTCTGTATTCACATTTTTAGATTGAGTTCAATTTATTTTTAAAATACCTCCCTTGGCATTATTACTAAACAGTTTAATTTGATTTTTTCTACCGTACTGTTATTATGTTATTAAAATGTATCCACTTTTTCTAGGAATATTAACGAAAATGATATTTGACATTGATCCTTTTAATATGTTTTAGCAATGTGCGTGTATTTAATATTTTCTTGACGTTATGCGAAAGAGTAAAAACCGTGGCAATTATAAAATAGCTCTATGCCGCTATATAATCAAACCCTACTCTAATACTTATAATAAGACACTGCGGTGCACTGAAAAGCACTGCGTGGTGCGAATGTTTACTTTTATGGTTCCAAAATCTATAGCGATGACGGAAGGAAGGACTGACACACTACCAGCAGCGTTATATTATAGATATGTATATGTATATATATATATATATATATATATATATATATATATATATATATATATATATATATATATATATATATATATATATATATATATATATATAGGGGGCCCTAATTTTTTCTTTGCGGGGGAGCCTATTTTTTCTAGTTCCGCCACTGGTGTTAGTGTTAGTGTTAGTGTTAGGGTTAGGGTTAGGGTTAGGGTTAGGGTTAGGATAAGGGCTAGATCTGTGGATAGGGTTAAGGTTATGGTTAGGATCATGGCCAGGATTAGGATTAGGGTTAGGGTTAAACCAATGTCAATACTTGGTTTTAGTTTTGTGTTAAGTTTTAGGCTGAGGTGAATGAAGGTTTTGGTCTTTTTCTTAAGGTTAGGTTTCATGTAATATACAGGTATAGAGGTTCAGTCAGAGTTCGGATTCTAACTTAAGGGGGGAAGGGGGAAAATTCCCCGGTGGGGTAATTGACAGGGCGGTAAATCGTCAGGGGGTATTTGCTCCGGGGGCTAATATGGAGGGGGGGGGGGGGGAATTTCCGGAGGTTAATTAACGGGGAGGTAATGTCCTGTATCTTTACTATATATATACATAAATGCGTAAACGATACTTGCATGCTTACCACATGGCTGATAGTGTTAACTAGACACGGCGTTAGACCTATCACATGGCTGATAGTGTTAACTAGACACGGTGTTTGACCTATCACATGGCTGATAGTGTTAACTAGACACGGCGTTAGACCTATCACATGGCTGATAGTGTTAACTAGACACGGTGTTTGACCTATCACATGGCTGATAGTGTTAACTAGACACGGCGTTAGACCTATCACATGGCTGATAGTGTTAACTAGACACGGTGTTTGACCTATCACATGGCTTACCAATAGCATGACAAAACAGTACAGCTGTTAATAAGTGGTGTAAACATTGGACGCGTGATAAATGGTATCACTTATCTAGTACTCTATACTTCATTGCTGTATAACAAGAACTGTTGAAATTTACATCGATGTGCCGACCGAAAATACATTTGTGACATATATCACAGCCCCCAGCTCCCCCATGAATACGCCACTGATTAGATACCTACATACTGCAGTAGATACACGGTTGTACACTATGGAAACATTCGCACAATGATTACATAGAGGATTATCAAAAACTGGTTGTACACTATGGAAACATTCACACAATGATTACATACAGGATTATCAAAAACTGGTTGTACACTATGGAAACATTCACACAATGATTACATAGAGGATTATCAAAAACTGGTTGTACACTATGGAAACATTCGCACAATGATTACATACAGGATTATCAAAAACTGGTTGTACACTATGGAAACATTCACACAATGATTACATAGAGGATTATCAAAAACTGGTTGTACACTATGGAAACATTCGCACAATGATTACATACAGGATTATCAAAAACTGGTTCTACACTATGGAAACATTCGCACAATGATTACATACAGGATTATCAAAAACTTACTTGAACTGAAACGGTGTCTTGATACTCTTAGCTACAACAAAAAGGGTTAATGTAAACATATATGCTATGGCTATGGCTATGGCTATGGCTATGGCTATGGCTATGGCTATGGCTATGGCTATGGCTATGGCTATGGCTATGGCTATGGCTATGGCTATGGCTATGGCTATGGCTATGGCTATGGCTATGGCTATGGCTATGGCTATGGCTATGGCTACGGCTATGGCTACGGCTACGGCTATGGCTACGGCTATGGCTACGGCTATGGCTACGGCTATGGCTACGGCTATGGCTACGGCTATGGCTACGGCTTCGGCTACGGCTACGGCTACGGCTACGGCTACGGCTACGGCTACGGCTACGGCTACGGCTACGGCTACGGCTACCTCCTACTATCATCTACCTCCCATCATCTACCCCCTATCATCTACCCCCTTATCATCTACCCCCCCATATCGTCTACCCCCTATCATCTACCCCCCATATCGTCTACCCCCTATCATCTACCCCCTATCATCTACCCCCTATCATCTACCCCCTATCATCTACCCCCTATCATCTACCCCTATATCGTCTACCCTCTATCATCTACCCCCTATCATCTACCCTTATCATCTACCCCCCTATCATCTACCCCTATATCGTCTACCCTTTATCATCTACCCCCTATCATCTACCCCCATATCGTCTACCCCCTATCATCTACCCTTATATCGTCTACCCCCTATCATCTACCCTTATCATCTACCCCCTATCATCTACCCCTTATCATCTACCCCCTATCATCTACCCCCTATCATCTACCCCCTATCATCTACCCTTTATCCTCTACCCTTTATCCTCTACCCCCTTATCATTTACTCCCTATTAACTACCCCCTATCAACTACCCCCCTATCAACTACCCCCCTATCAGCTACCCCCTATCAACTACCCCCTCCCTATCAACTACCCCCCTATCATCTACCCCCCCCCCCTATAAACTACCCCCCCCCTATCTTCTCCGCCTTACACTAAGTACAAACCTCTCCTTCTAAACACCACCACCGCTAGACAAAGGACCATGACGGCAAGCACCAGAATGACTGACACCACCACGTCTTTGATCACATCCTCAGTGCTAGAGTCTTCTGTGAGAGAAAAGGTTTCGTTCACAGTCGATTAGTGTAACAGTCAAGTATCAATGGTTAGAGTCAAGTATGAATGGTTAGAGTCAAGTTTGGGGTGGTTAGAGTCAAGTTTGGGGTGGTTAGAGTCAGAAATGGTTAGAACTTAGTAAGTCCTTCTAGGCTTCGCCCTTACACTACGTATAAGAATTGTAGCCAATGACCTGTTATAAGTGTTAGAATGAAAGTCAAATTCTGGATTCTGATGGTGATTTGCCCAAAGTCTGGCGCCGAAACGTTCGAGATGGTGATGTTGAAGTGGTATGTTGAGTTCCAATCCTCTGGCTCTATCCACTCAACCACCACATTGGGCACAATCAGGTTGTCTTTTGTCACATCTATGGATATCTGTTTGTGTCTGGTTGCCATGGTGACGCACAGAGTCAGCCGAACCGTTTCCCCGATCTTTGCCACTGCTGTCATGTGTGCAAGCTGACTGGAACAAAGTCTCGGTCCAGCTAAAATATACAGGTAGCAGGGTAAAGTCTCGGTCCAGCTAAAATATACAGGTAGCAGGGTAAAGTCTCGGTCCAGCTAAAATATACAGGTAGCAGGGTAAAGTCTCGGTCCAGCTAAAATATACAGGTAGCAGGGTAAAGTCTCGGTCCAGCTAAAATATACAGGTAGCAGGGTAAAGTCTCGGTCCAGCTAAAATATACAGGTAGCAGGGTAAAGTCTCGGTCCAGCTAAAATATACAGGTAGCAGGGTAAAGTCTCGGTCCAGCTAAAATATACAGGTAGCAGGGTAATCAAAGTCTCGGTCCAGCTAAAATATACAGGTAGCAGGGTAAAGTCTCGGTCCAGCTAAAATATACAGGTAGCAGGGTAATCAAAGTCTCGGTCCAGCTAAAATATACAGGTAGCAGGGTAATCAAAGTCTCGGTCCAGCTAAAATATACAGGTAGCAGGGTAATCAAAGTCTCGGTCCAGCTAAAATATACAGGTAGCAGGGTAAAGTCTCGGTCCAGCTAAAATATACAGGTAGCAGGGTAAAGTCTCGGTCCAGCTAAAATATACAGGTAGCAGGGTAATCAAAGTCTCGGTCCAGCTAAAATATACAGGTAGCAGGGTAAAGTCTCGGTCCAGCTAAAATATACATGTAGCAGGGTAACCAAAGTCTCGGTCCAGCTAAAATATACAGGTAGCAGGGTAATCAAAGTCTCGGTCCAGCTAAAATATACAGGTAGCAGGGTAACGTCTCGGTCCAGCTAAAATATACAGGTAGCAGGGTAATCAAAGTCTCGGTCTAGCTAAAATATACAGGTAGCAGGGTAATCAAAGTCTCGATCCAGCTAAAATATACAGGTAGCAGGGTAAAGTCTCGGTCCAGCTAAAATATACAGGTAGCAGGGTAATCAAAGTCTCGGTCCAGCTAAAATATACAGGTAGCAGGGTAAAGTCTCGGTCCAGCTAAAATATACAGGTAGCAGGGTAAAGTCTCGGTCCAGCTAAAATATACAGGTAGCAGGGTAATCAAAGTATCGGTCCAGCTAAAATATACAGGTAGCAGGGTAAAGTCTCGGTCCAGCTAAAATATACAGGTAGCAGGGTAACCAAAGTCTCGGTCCAGCTTAAATATACAGGTAGCAGGGTAATCAAAGTCTCGGTCCAGCTAAAATATACAGGTAGCAGGGTAAAGTCTCGGTCCAGCTAAAATATACAGGTAGCAGGGTAATCAAAGTCTCGGTCTAGCTAAAATATACAGGTAGCAGGGTAATCAAAGTCTCGATCCAGCTAAAATATACAGGTAGCAGGGTAAAGTCTCGGTCCAGCTAAAATATACAGGTAGCAGGGTAAAGTCTCGGTCCAGCTAAAATATACAGGTAGCAGGGTAAAGTCTCGGTCCAGCTAAAATATACAGGTAGCAGGGTAATCAAAGTCTCGGTCCAGCTAAAATATACAGGTAGCAGGGTAATCAAAGTCTCGGTCCAGCTAAAATATACAGGTAGCAGGGTAATCAAAGTCTCGGTCCAGCTAAAATATACAGGTAGCAGGGTAATCAAAGTCTCGGTCCAGCTAAAATATACAGGTAGCAGGGTAATCAAAGTCTCGGTCCAGCTAAAATATACAGGTAGCAGGGTAAAGTCTCGGTCCAGCTAAAATATACAGGTAGCAGGGTAATCAAAGTCTCGGTCCAGCTAAAATATACAGGTAGCAGGGTAAAGTCTCGGTCCAGCTAAAATATACAGGTAGCAGGGTAACCAAAGTCTCGGTCCAGCTAAAATATACAGGTAGCAGGGTAATCAAAGTCTCGGTCCAGCTAAAATATACAGGTAGCAGGGTAACGTCTCGGTCCAGCTAAAATATACAGGTAGCAGGGTAAAGTCTCGGTCCAGCTAAAATATACAGGTAGCAGGGTAACCAAAGTCTCGGTCCAGCTAAAATATACAGGTAGCAGGGTAATCAAAGTCTCGGTCCAGCTAAAATATACAGGTAGCAGGGTAATCAAAGTCTCGGTCCAGCTAAAATATACAGGTAGCAGGGTAAAGTCTCGGTCCAGCTAAAATATACAGGTAGCAGGGTAAAGTCTCGGTCCAGCTAAAATATACAGGTAGCAGGGTAATCAAAGTCTCGGTCCAGCTAAAATATACAGGTAGCAGGGTAAAGTCTCGGTCCAGCTAAAATATACAGGTAGCAGGGTAACCAAAGTCTCGGTCCAGCTAAAATATACAGGTAGCAGGGTAATCAAAGTCTCGGTCCAGCTAAAATATACAGGTAGCAGGGTAACGTCTCGGTCCAGCTAAAATATACAGGTAGCAGGGTAAAGTCTCGGTCCAGCTAAAATATACAGGTAGCAGGGTAACCAAAGTCTCGGTCCAGCTAAAATATACAGGTAGCAGGGTAATCAAAGTCTCGGTCCAGCTAAAATATACAGGTAGCAGGGTAATCAAAGTCTCGGTCCAGCTAAAATATACAGGTAGCAGGGTAATCAAAGTCTCGGTCTAGCTAAAATATACAGGTAGCAGGGTAATCAAAGTCTCGATCCAGCTAAAATATACAGGTAGCAGGGTAAAGTCTCGGTCCAGCTAAAATATACAGGTAGCAGGGTAAAGTCTCGGTCCAGCTAAAATATACAGGTAGCAGGGTAAAGTCTCGGTCCAGCTAAAATATACAGGTAGCAGGGTAATCAAAGTCTCGGTCCAGCTAAAATATACAGGTAGCAGGGTAATCAAAGTCTCGGTCCAGCTAAAATATACAGGTAGCAGGGTAATCAAAGTCTCGGTCCAGCTAAAATATACAGGTAGCAGGGTAATCAAAGTCTCGGTCCAGCTAAAATATACAGGTAGCAGGGTAATCAAAGTCTCGGTCCAGCTAAAATATACAGGTAGCAGGGTAAAGTCTCGGTCCAGCTAAAATATACAGGTAGCAGGGTAATCAAAGTCTCGGTCCAGCTAAAATATACAGGTAGCAGGGTAAAGTCTCGGTCCAGCTAAAATATACAGGTAGCAGGGTAACCAAAGTCTCGGTCCAGCTAAAATATACAGGTAGCAGGGTAATCAAAGTCTCGGTCCAGCTAAAATATACAGGTAGCAGGGTAACGTCTCGGTCCAGCTAAAATATACAGGTAGCAGGGTAAAGTCTCGGTCCAGCTAAAATATACAGGTAGCAGGGTAACCAAAGTCTCGGTCCAGCTAAAATATACAGGTAGCAGGGTAATCAAAGTCTCGGTCCAGCTAAAATATACAGGTAGCAGGGTAATCAAAGTCTCGGTCCAGCTAAAATATACAGGTAGCAGGGTAAAGTCTCGGTCCAGCTAAAATATACAGGTAGCAGGGTAAAGTCTCGGTCCAGCTAAAATATACAGGTAGCAGGGTAATCAAAGTCTCGGTCCAGCTAAAATATACAGGTAGCAGGGTAAAGTCTCGGTCCAGCTAAAATATACAGGTAGCAGGGTAACCAAAGTCTCGGTCCAGCTAAAATATACAGGTAGCAGGGTAATCAAAGTCTCGGTCCAGCTAAAATATACAGGTAGCAGGGTAACGTCTCGGTCCAGCTAAAATATACAGGTAGCAGGGTAAAGTCTCGGTCCAGCTAAAATATACAGGTAGCAGGGTAACCAAAGTCTCGGTCCAGCTAAAATATACAGGTAGCAGGGTAATCAAAGTCTCGGTCCAGCTAAAATATACAGGTAGCAGGGTAATCAAAGTCTCGGTCCAGCTAAAATATACAGGTAGCAGGGTAATCAATGTCTCAGGGTAATATCTGTGTGGGTTATTAATAGAATGTTAAATGTTGCTTTTAGTAAGTAAATATGGTCATGGACAAATTATTTTCTATAAATTTGAAAACAGTTTAAAAAATGGTTGTTTAAATGACAATAGGTAGCCTTTGTAGTTTTCCTGTGTAAGAATGTGTGAAATAACAATAGGTAGTGCAGTGGCGGAACTATAAAAAAGGGCCACCCCGCAAAGAAATATTTTGGGCCCCATATATATATATATATATATATATATATATATATATATATATATATATATATATATATATATATATATATATATATATATATATATATATATATATATATATATATATATATATATATATATATATATATATTTATATTTATATAAACAAAATACGAAAATACCAACATAGAGTACTCATTTCGGACTTGTTCGAGTTTTTAGAAAAATTCTTAGTTTTGAAAAAAAAAATTAAAACAAGTTACAACAACACGTCATTTGTATGAGTGCTATTAGTCTGTTGTGCAAATATCTCTCTCTCTCTCTCTCTCTCTCTCTCTCTCTCTCTCTCTCTCTCTCTCTTTTGTTTTATAATATATTTATTTCATTTTTCTTTTTAAATAATTTTTTTTTAACCTTTCTTTTTTATTTTTTTTTTGATGTTTGAAATCGTGTAAAGATGTAAAGTAAAGTTTCACTTTTAAACCTGACGGTCTGTGGGGCAAGTGAAGTAGAGTTCACTTGTTTCAGTGACCTCGGCATATGAAGAGATAGTGTGGTCAGCACTATGCACAGCCGCCTTTACTTTCCCTAACGTGAGTTAGGTACCCATCAAGGTTGGGTGGACTCAGGGACGGTTTACTGACTTCAACCCGGATTCGAACTCGAGACTTTCGGGTTATCAGTCCAGCTCTCTGCAGCTAGACCCGCTAGACCACTCCGTCCCCTCTGTTAAGAAAATCTCTGTTTAAATCTGTTGTTTATGATGCTTCCTGTAAGTTGGTAGGTCAAAAGAATATGAAGCATGAAAGCTTCGTATTTGTAATGGTTTCTTGCGTTATGTTTATGTTCATGTTTTTTGTATTTATATTATTAGTTTTAAATACATTTCATTTTTACGCTTTGTCATTCTTTATTATGTTTTTTAAAATAATAATTAAGAGAAGTAATTGCTCTTTAATTTGTTTAGTGCAAATCTATTAAAAGGTGCGAGCACACATATTTGACTATTTAAAAAAGGGAGATAAGTCATCGAAGTGGTTAGAACGTTTACCTATCTGTGTGTTTGATTGTAGGAGAAAGAGGACTCGGGATGTTGTCTATAGAATAAAGATAATGAAACCGCAGCTACAGTCTTCTTTTTACAAAACTCAACCATCAAGTCAAAAATGCAAGAAAATTATATTTTTTTAATTGTAAAAAAATTGATTATGGTCGGCTGCGGGCCCCTAAACGGCCCGGGCCCCCCCCCCCCCCCGCATTGCGGGGTCTGGCGGCACTGTAGTTCCGCCCCTGAGGTAGTGTATGTAGTTTTCCTGTGTCAACAGGCCAACAGAAATATTAATTGCTATAATTTTGCGAAGGTGTTTCGACCACGCCCTTGTTCGAATGCGACAAATGCCCGAAAGCCACTTGCCCGAAGGCCTTGCCCGAAAAAATGTTAACATTATAGATTACCGAATGGTCATTCCTAATCAATTTAAAATTTTTTTGAAATTATGATAAACGATTCATACCTAAACAAAAATAAAGGAAACAAAATTTATAGTGTATATTATCACGCAGAAATTATTAATTAATTTGTATTTGCTATATAAAAAGTGTACAAACACATTTTCTTCTCTATCTATAAAACAAGACAAAATTAGAATTTTGATAAATCACCGATTTTTAAAATGAATCTCAATTTCTTTATTAAGTAATCACTAACACACTGTCTAAACAGGGTGCATTTAACGGAGATCAAACAAGGGGTTCAAAAAAATGTAAAGACACCGACGCCAACATCACATTACATTTATAAAAAAAAATTTTTTACAGCCCACACGTTGTTTGACCGTATGGAGAAGGATTTTTTTACAGTCAACACGGTGTAGATATAGAAATAGAAGTAGAAGTAGAAGTAGATGTAGATGTAGATGATGATGATGTAGATGTAGATGTAGATGTAGATGTAGATGTAGATGTAGATGTAGATGTAGATGTAGATGTAGATGTAGATGTAGATGTAGATGTAGATGTAGATGTAGATGTAGATGTAGATGTAGATGTAGATGTAGATGTAGATGTAGATGTAGATGTAGATGTAGATGTAGATTAGATGTAGATGTAAATGTAGATGTAAATGTAGATGTAAATGTAGATGTAGATGTAGATGTAGATGTAGATGTAGATGTAGATGTAGATGTAGATGATGTAGATGTAGATGTAGATGTAGATGTAGATGTAGATGTAGATGTAGATGTAGATGTAGATGTAGATGTAGATGTAGATGTAGATGTAGATGTAGATGTAGATGTAGATGTAGATGTAGATGTAGATGTAGATGTAGATGTAGATGTAGATGTAGATGTAGATGTAGATGTAGATGTAGATGTAGATGTAGATGTAGATGTAGATGTAGATGTAGATGTAGATGTAGATGTAGATGTAGATGTAGATGTAGATGTAGATGTAGATGTAGATGTAGATGTAGATGTAGATGTAGATGTAGATGTAGATGTAGATGTAGATGTAGATGTAGATGTAGATGTAGATGTAGATGTAGATGTAGATGTAGATGTAGATGTAGATGTAGATGTAGATGTAGATGTAGATGTAGATGTAGATGTAGATGTAGATGTAGATGTAGATGTAGATGTAGATGTAGATGTAGATGTAGATGTAGATGTAGATGTAGATGTAGATGTAGATGTAGATGTAGATGTAGATGTAGATGTAGATGTAGATGTAGATGTAGATGTAGATGTAGATGTAGATGTAGATGTAGATGTAGATGTAGATGTAGATGTAGATGTAGATGTAGATGTAGATGTAGATGTAGATGTAGATGTAGATGTAGATGTAGATGTAGATGTAGATGTAGATGTAGATGTAGATGTAGATGTAGATGTAGATGTAGATGTAGATGTAGATGTAGATGTAGATGTAGATGTAGATGTAGATGTAGATGTAGATGTAGATGTAGATGTAGATGTAGATGTAGATGTAGATGTAGATGTAGATGTAGAGATGTAGATGTAGATGTAGATGTAGATGTAGATGTAGATGTAGATGTAGATGTAGATGTAGATGTAGATGTAGATGTAGATGTAGATGTAGATGTAGATGTAGATGTAGATGTAGATGTAGATGTAGATGTAGATGTAGATGTAGATGTAGATGTAGATGTAGATGTAGATGTAGATGTAGATGTAGATGTAGATGTAGATGTAGATGTAGATGTAGATGTAGATGTAGATGTAGATGTAGATGTAGATGTAGATGTAGATGTAGATGTAGATGTAGATGTAGATGTAGATGTAGATGTAGATGTAGATGTAGATGTAGATGTAGATGTAGATGTAGATGTAGATGTAGATGTAGATGTAGATGTAGATGTAGATGTAGATGTAGATGTAGATGTAGATGTAGATGTAGATGTAGATGTAGATGTAGATGTAGATGTAGATGTAGATGTAGATGTAGATGTAGATGTAGATGTAGATGTAGATGTAGATGTAGATGTAGATGTAGATGTAGATGTAGATGTAGATGTAGATGTAGATGTAGATGTAGATGTAGATGTAGATGTAGATGTAGATGTAGATGTAGATGTAGATGTAGATGTAGATGTAGATGTAGATGTAGATGTAGATGTAGATGTAGATGTAGATGTAGATGTAGATGTAGATGTAGATGTAGATGTAGATGTAGATGTAGATGTAGATGTAGATGTAGATGTAGATGTAGATGTAGATGTAGATGTAGATGTAGATGTAGATGTAGATGTAGATGTAGATGTAGATGTAGATGTAGATGTAGATGTAGATGTAGATGTAGATGTAGATGTAGATGTAGATGTAGATGTAGATGTAGATGTAGATGTAGATGTAGATGTAGATGTAGATGTAGATGTAGATGTAGATGTAGATGTAGATGTAGATGTAGATGTAGATGTAGATGTAGATGTAGATGTAGATGTAGATGTAGATGTAGATGTAGATGTAGATGTAGATGTAGATGTAGATGTAGATGTAGATGTAGATGTAGATGTAGATGTAGATGTAGATGTAGATGTAGATGTAGATGTAGATGTAGATGTAGATGTAGATGTAGATGTAGATGTAGATGTAGATGTAGATGTAGATGTAGATGTAGATGTAGATGTAGATGTAGATGTAGATGTAGATGTAGATGTAGATGTAGATGTAGATGTAGATGTAGATGTAGATGTAGATGTAGATGTAGATGTAGATGTAGATGTAGATGTAGATGTAGATGTAGATGTAGATGTAGATGTAGATGTAGATGTAGATGTAGATGTAGATGTAGATGTAGATGTAGATGTAGATGTAGATGTAGATGTAGATGTAGATGTAGATGTAGATGTAGATGTAGATGTAGATGTAGATGTAGATGTAGATGTAGATGTAGATGTAGATGTAGATGTAGATGTAGATGTAGATGTAGATGTAGATGTAGATGTAGATGTAGATGTAGATGTAGATGTAGATGTAGATGTAGATGTAGATGTAGATGTAGATGTAGATGTAGATGTAGATGTAGATGTAGATGTAGATGTAGATGTAGATGTAGATGTAGATGTAGATGTAGATGTAGATGTAGATGTAGATGTAGATGTAGATGTAGATGTAGATGTAGATGTAGATGTAGATGTAGATGTAGATGTAGATGTAGATGTAGATGTAGATGTAGATGTAGATGTAGATGTAGATGTAGATGTAGATGTAGATGTAGATGTAGATGTAGATGTAGATGTAGATGTAGATGTAGATGTAGATGTAGATGTAGATGTAGATGTAGATGTAGATGTAGATGTAGATGTAGATGTAGATGTAGATGTAGATGTAGATGTAGATGTAGATGTAGATGTAGATGTAGATGTAGATGTAGATGTAGATGTAGATGTAGATGTAGATGTAGATGTAGATGTAGATGTAGATGTAGATGTAGATGTAGATGTAGATGTAGATGTAGATGTAGATGTAGATGTAGATGTAGATGTAGATGTAGATGTAGATGTAGATGTAGATGTAGATGTAGATGTAGATGTAGATGTAGATGTAGATGTAGATGTAGATGTAGATGTAGATGTAGATGTAGATGTAGATGTAGATGTAGATGTAGATGTAGATGTAGATGTAGATGTAGATGTAGATGTAGATGTAGATGTAGATGTAGATGTAGATGTAGATGTAGATGTAGATGTAGATGTAGATGTAGATGTAGATGTAGATGTAGATGTAGTAACATGAAAACAACTAACCTCCCCTGACACATACAAAGTTGAGTTTGTCTCCATCAAGCCGTCTGCTGCAAGCGTGCGTCACAACATTGATGACGTTACACTCATAATCGTCTGCTGCTATCCACATTTCAAGGACGTCTGAGATGTGAGCTGTAGACATTTATGTTGGCGTCGATACAAGGGTACTAAATAACAGAACAGATTGAACGATATTAAAAAGATTATATTCTCACGTTCTCACATTGGCAGCTTGTGCACCCTGACGACCCCCAGAGCTATGCCTTCGGCAGTGTAAACTCCTGGCATGACCCCCCGAGCTATGCCATCGGGAGTGTAAACTCCTGGCATGACCCCCAGAGCTATGCCATCGGCAGTGTTTTCATTTGTGTTTTTATTTGCGTTTCATTTTTCTTTTGTGTTTAAGTGTTGTATTTTTGTTTTCGCTTGTGTTTGCATTATGTTTGTGTTTTCTTCTGTAGTTGTGTAGTGTTTGTGTTTTCTTAACACGTTTTTCTTAACTCAGCTTCGCGTTTGTTTGTTTGGTTGTTTGGATGTTTGTTGTTAAAATTGACATCGAAAATTAGCCCACTTCTGATTGCTCTAGAGACCTGAAATTTGGCATGCATGCTACTTTCGCCTAACAATTTCAGATGCAATCATAAAAACTAGCAATTAGTGACCGTAATTAGCTTAATTTAATTACGCCCCAAGGACCATAAAATTGAGGACATGATTTCTAAAGATACCGACAAGACTGGAGGCCTATTGACACAGTTACTTCGGCCCCAATCGATGTGAGCGCGCTGGCCGTGATCGTATAGCGGTTAGTACTTCGCGTTGAGGCCGCGACAACCCAGGTTCGAATCCTGGTCGCTCAAGATTTTTAGTCCGTGTATTTATAAACACTTAGTCAAGTCATTCTTAATCAAGTCATTAGATAAAGTAGAAAATAAACTATATAAAAAACTTTTTTAAAAACCACGTTTTTCATGTGTAGCAACGGACTAAAAAGGAGAAAATAAAATACTTAAAAAAAAACTTTTTAAAAAACCACGTTTTTCTTGTGGACTAAAAAGTAGAAAATAAATTTTCATACATTTGATGACAAAAAACGTGGGTCGGGCAGATGGGTCGGGAAATTTGATGGTGAACGTACCCACGTTTTTTGTCAGTCATCACAAGAACCTGCACAGCTCGAGGAAGCACAAAAGAAAATTTTATTTTCTACTTTTTAGTCCACAAGAAAAACGTGGTTTTTTAAAAAGTTTTTTTTAAGCATTTTATTTTGTGTTTGTGCTGTGTTTTGTTTTGTTCTGTTCCCAAGTTGGTTCATTTAAAAATGATGTACCGTGGCGTAGCACGGGTATGCAGCTAGTATATATATATATATATATATATATATATATATATATATATATATATATATATATATATATATATATATATATATATATATATATATATATATATATATATATATATATATTTACTAGGCATACTGCCTAGTACTGCTTCGCTTTGGTTTTCATAAAACTTTTGAGAATTCGATTGATTAATTAATTAGTGATTGGCTTTTATCTTGAGTGCTTAGTGCCTAAGTTTAAACCGTTTGAGAAATATCTTGTCATGGAAATATGGGTGGAGTATTCGCTAACTAAGTTCTCGCAAGGTTATTAGTACTGCAAAGGCTTCCTAAATAGTACATGTAACACATATGGTTACCAGCCAAAGGGGGATAAAAATATGAAGTTTTTATTCATTGGGTTGCGGCCCCTGTGGGACCGTAACTGAACTGTTGACGTTGTTTTTTTATGCTTTTGTGAGCGAAATTACCTGTGTTCCATGTCATGTGACATGGGATTGTGGGTAGTTTCATGCCTAGCCGTGTCGCACACGCAAGGCTGCTGTCTGTGGACCAAGATGTAGACCTAATGAAGGTAGTTATATAGATTATGTTTGTTAAAATACTTATTTGTGTATTCCTGCTAGTGCTGCATGTGCACACTAGTTAGGGTGAGTATTAATATAAGTATTTATTTGTAGTACTACGTATTGGTACTTGTTGGCAGTACTGTGTACTGGCCAAAACATATTTTATTGTTACCCGTGTATATTGTAGCCTACACATGGTGTTGTCAGGAATGTAACTTTTTTTATTTACATTTGTTTTAGGGCTACAGTTCTTTTGGACTTTTGGTCTTTTGGTTTTGGTCTTTTGGATTCTTTCTTCTTGGCTAGTTTGTTTTGTACTACTGTGTTGCATCGCCGTCATGGCTCGATGCTGTAAATAAACGAGTACTTGACAACAACTGTCGGTGTCGGTGTGTACTTAATCTCCGGGTCAGCCCGTCTTAACCACAACACCTCAGTGGGTAAAAGCATCCCCACTGAGTGAGGGTTACAGTACAAATCAAATATTATATTTAAATTCACTTTCGCAATTACTTTTTACAATTTCAGTACAATACATAGATTAATTTATAACGAAATGTTTATTTAAACGAATGCTATACATAGTGATTTTTTTCTTTAAAAAAGTAATAACATTATTTAAAACTTCTTTTTAAAGTTACCTCCTTTGTACATATACCAACTGACGTAGTCTTTATTTACTTTTTTCACAAACAATTGTTTATATAAGAAAATACGGCATCCGGACAAATCTAAATACTATGAGGGTTTTTTTCCGACGGGAATAATGTTTTTTTGTTACCCCCCAGGGTCCGTCTACGACCTCACAAAATATTAGGGCGATCGTTCGTCAATTTATTTACATCTCATGTAAGGAGAATTTCAATCGCGGTCTTCTTTTTAGCCCTCTTCGAGGGCTTTGAGTCTGACCAAAAATTTTTCCATATGGCCTAGTCATCTATAGAAGTGCATGCCAAAAATTAGCAGATGTACAGAGGTTTACTACCGTTGCTTTAAACTGTGCTCAGATAATACTAATGATTTTTATCTTTAGCCGGTTATAAAAGCTTGATGAAGCGTGTTTTCTCTATCATTAGCAGGTTTACGTTATGGTGTCACTCCCCCCCCCCCCCCCTCTTCTCTCCACCCTTGTCAGAATTTTTCAACGTTACTCTTAAAAGACTATTTAATTAACTCTAATTAAACACTTAATTAAGTGGAATTATCGTTTTTCTGTATATATTTTGCTATTTTTTACCTTGATGTCACCCCCTAAATTGTGTCACTCGCTCCGATACGCACCCCCATTCCCACCCCTACCCCTCGCTACGCCTCTGACACACACTCCTCAAGTAAATGTGGAAAGATTGACAAATACTAGAGAAGGGGATTACTAATAAAACTTACAAAGAAAGGCAATCTTATTGCATGCTCCAACTATAGAGGGAGAACACTTGTCTTCAACAGAATATTTTATAACAGAATGAAGGGAGAGATAGACCCCCAAGTTTACACTTCATGGGGCTGACTTTAGGATGGAAAGATCATGCGTAGACCAAATTTCTGTATGGACCGGAGAAAGGCAACGTTGCCTAATTTCACCATTCCTGTTCCTACTGGCCATAGACTGGATAAATGTCAGCAAAGAAAAAGAAAACGGTATGCAGTGGACACTGTGGAACCAGCTGGATGACCTGGACTTTGCTGACGATCTGATCCTTCTTTCTCACACAACAACAATTCCACGATAAAACAAAGTCAATACATCAAGCAGCACCCCTATAACATTGGCAGGCAAAACCCTAGATTTGGATAGTTTCACCTACCTTGAAGTATTGTTGATAAGCAGGGCGGGACAGTAGCAGACATAAAAATAAGGACAGGCAAGGCAAGAGCAGTCTTTAACCAACTAAAAATGTTTGGGGTTCTGGAAATTTAACCCTTGGAATAAAACATCCGGGTCTTCAAAACACTAGTAAAACCTGTTATACTCTCTGGACAGAGACATGGAGAATAACTGCGACAAATAAGAAAACACAATCATTTATAAACTACTGCCTCAGAAACATCCTTCGAATACGCTGGCCTAACACCATCAGAAATGAGGTACTACGGCAACGGACAAATCAACTGCCAGTTGAAGTAGAGACCCTCCAGAGAAAATGGAAATGGATTGGCCACTCAGGAAACCTGTATCCAGCATAACAAGACAGGCCCTCACCTGGAATCCACAGGGCAAGGAAAATAGGCCGACCAAGATGGACCTGGATTCATGACCTGGAAAAAACAAGAAGATTGGATACACCTGGGGACAGTTGGAGAGACTAGCCCAGGACAGAGACGCCTGGAAAGCTCTCGTCAGCGGCCTATATTCCAGGAGGGGCGGCAGGCTAACCTAACCAACAGACTTTGACCTAAGACTAGAGTAGTCTAAAATAGGTCCCATTCAAGGTCCCAGCCAACAGAAAGGTCCCAGTCAACAGACAGGTCCCAGCCAACAGACAGGTCCCAGTCAACAGACAGGTCCCTGTCAAGGTCCCAGTCAACAGACAGGTCCCAGCCAACAGACAGGTCCCAGCCAACAGACAGGTCCCAGCCAACAGGCAGGTCCCAGTAAACAGACAGGTCCCAGCCAACAGACAGGTCCCAGCCAAAAGGCAGGTCCCAGCCAACAGACAGGTCCCAGTCAACAGACAGGTCCCTGTCAAGGTCCCAGTCAACAAACAGGTCCCAGCCAACAGACAGGTCCCAGCCAACAGACAGGTCCCAGCCAACAGGCAGGTCCCAGTCAACAGACAGGTCCCAGCCAACAGACAGGTCCCAGCCAACAGGCAGGTCCCAGCCAACAGACAGGTCCCAGTCAACAGACAGGTCCCAGCCAACAGACAGGTCCCAGCCAACAGACAGGTCCCAGTCAACAGACAGGTCCCTGTCAAGGTCCCAGTCAACAGACAGGTCCCAGCCAACAGGCAGGTCCCAGCCAACAGACAGGTCCCAGCCAACAGACAGGTCCCAGCCAACAGACAGGTCCCAGTCAACAGACAGGTCCCAGTCAACAGACAGGTCCCAGCCAACATGCAGGTCCCAGTCAACAGACAGGTCCCAGCCAACAGACAGGTCCCAGCCAACAGACAAGTCCCAGCCAACAGACAGGTCCCAGCCAACAGACAGGTCCCAGTCAACAGACAGGTCCCAGTCAACAGACAGGTCCCAGCCAACAGGCAGGTCCCAGTCAACAGGCAGGTCCCAGCCAACAGACAGGTCCCAGCCAACAGACAGGTCCCAGCCAACAGACAGGTCCCAGCCAACAGACAGGTCCCAGTCAACAGACAGGTCCCAGTCAACAGACAGGTCCCAGTCAACAGACAGGTCCCAGTCAACAGACAGGTCCCAGCCAACAGACAGGTCCCAGTCAACAGACAGGCCCCAGCCAACAGAAAGGTCCCAGTCAACAGACAGGTCCCTGTCAAGGTCCCAGCCAACAGACAGGTCCCAGCCAACAGACAGGGACCTAACAAAACCCATTAATAACTCACATTCGATGAGTTGCAGTGTCTGATTGTCCATGGGCCCTGCCATTAGATTGGCACCAAGCTCGTTACAGATTTCTCCTGCCTTAAGCTGACTGTCCACCGGGTCCGAGCTGACCTTGATACACCAGCCGCGCCACCTGGCACTGTGCCAGCCCTCGTGGCAATCGCTGCCTGCGTCCATTATTTGGCTTACTGCCAGCGATTCTGTCGTCTGCTCACCTGACGACACTGGTGATAGTCGGCTGACGGAAGTAGTTACCTGAGGCGCCAAGCTACCTGTAAGAAGATGATTGTAAGATGGTTGTAGATATGATTGTAAGATGGTTGTAGATATGATTGTAAGATGGTTGTAGATATAATTGTACGATGGTTGTAGATATAATAGTAAGATGGTTGTAGATAAAATGGTAAGATGGTTGTCAATATAATGGTAAGATGGTTGTAGATATAATGTTAAGATGGTTGTAAATATGATGGTAAGAAGGTTGTAGATATAATGGTAAGATGGTTGTAGATATGAATGTAAGATGGTTGTAAATATAATGGTAAGATGGTTGTAGATATAATGGTAAGATGGTTGTAGATATGATTATAAGATGGTTGTAGATATAATAGTAAGATTGTTGCAGATATAATGGTAAGATAGTTGTAGATATAATGGTAAGATGATTGTAGATATCATGGTAAGATGGTTGTAAATATAATGGTAAGATGGTTGTAGATATAATGGTAAGATGGTTGTAGATATAATGGTAAGATGGTTGTAGATATAATGATAAGATGGTTGTAGATATAATGGTAAGATTGTTGTAGATTTGTAGATATAATGGTACGATGGTTGTAGATATAATGGTAAGATGGTTGTAGATATGATGATTGTAGATATCATGGTAAGATGGTTGTAGGTATGATTGTAAGATGGTTGTAGATATAATGGTAACATGGTTGTAGATATAATGGTAACATGGTTGTAGATATGATTGTAAGATGGTTGTAGATATAATGGTAAGATGGTTGTAGATATGATTGTAAGATGGTTGTAGATAAAATGGTAAGATGGTTGTCGATATAATGGTAAGATGGTTGTAGATATAATGTTAAGATGGTTGTAAATATGATGGTTGTAGATATAATGTTAAGATGGTTGTAGATATGATTGTAAGATGGTTGTAGATATGATTGTAAGATGGTTGTAGATATAATTGTACGATGGTTGTAGATATAATAGTAAGATGGTTGTAGATAAAATGGTAAGATGGTTGTCGATATAATGGTAAGATGGTTGTAGATATAATGTTAAGATGGTTGTAAATATGATGGTTGTAGATATACTGGTAAGAAGGTTGTAGATATAATGGTAAGATGGTTGTAGATATGAATGTAAGATGGTTGTAAATATAATGGTAAGTTGGTTGTAGATATAATGGTAAGATGGTTGTAGATATTATTATAAGATGGTTGTAGATATAATGGTAAGATTGTTGCAGATATAATGGTAAGATAGTTGTAGATATAATGGTAAGATGATTGTAGATATCATGGTAAGATGGTTGTAAATATAATGGTAAGATGGTTGTAGATATAATGGTAAGATCGTTGTAGATATAATGGTAAGATGGTTGTAGATATAATGGTAAGATGGTTGTAGATATAATGGTAAGATTGTTGTAGATTAGTAGATATAATGATACGATGGTTGTAAATATAATGGTAAGATGGTTGTAGATATGATGGTTGTAGATATCATAGTAAGATGGTTGTAGGTATAATGGTAAGATGGTTGTAGGTATGATTGTAAGATGGTTGTAGATATAATGGTAACATGGTTGTAGATATAATGGTAACATGGTTGTAGATATGATTGTAAGATGGTTGTAGATATAATGGTAAGATTGTTGTAGATATGATTGTAAGATGGTTGTAGATATAATGGTAAGATGGTTTTAGATATAATTGTAAGATGGTTGTAGATATAATGTTAAGATGGTTGTAGATACAATGGTAAGATGGTTGTAGATATAACGGTAAGATGGTTGTAGATATGATTGTAAGATGGTTGTAGATATAATGGTAAGAGTGTTGTAGATTTGTAGATATAATGGTACGATAGTTGTAGATATAATGTTAAGATGGTTTTAGATATAATGGTAAGATGGTTGTAGATATAATGGTAAGATGGTTGTAGATATAATGGTAAGGTGGTTGTAGATATAATGCTATGATGGTTTTAGACATAATGGTAAGATTGTTGTAGATATAATGTTAAGATGGTTGTAGATATAAAGGTAAGATGGTTGTAGATATAATCGTAATTTTCTAACGAATCTCTCCTGATTTTTTAAAAATTTTACTCATTAAATCATTTCTTAAAGCACATAACAAAATGAAATATTAAGGATCCCAATAAGTGGAATCCCATTAACTGTCAGAAGATCCCATTCCAAATCACACCAAAAGCTAGGTCACAAAAACAGGTCAACTCTACTTCACCTGCCCAGTGTCCTCCCAACTCAGACATGTTTTTGTCTGTGAAAACACAGATTTTGGCTGAGCGTGGTTCTGACCACACTTTCTTTTCATATGCTGTCGTCACAGATGAACTTTACACCTACCCAACACTACGTCACCTGCCCAGTGTTCCGCCAAGTCTTAGACAACATGTTTTATCTTTGAAAAAAAAAAGATTCCGGCCGAGCATGGCTCTGACCACACTATCCACGTTATATACTGAGGACAAAAACACCGGTGAACTCTGCTTCACCTGCCCTGTATCCCGCTAAGCTCCAATAGGCAAAGGCAACATTATCATTCACAACTAAAACAAAAAAAAAATTAAAATAAAAAAAAAAATACTGGTATGTCTAGAACCCATGCCACCCGCATGGTTACCTAGTATACTAACATCTTAGCTACCTAGGCTCTTACAATATTGGACGGTATAAAGTTATACATTTTACTTTTTGATTTACGCGCATAGGCCCTAGATCTAGTATCTTTCAAATTAAATTGTATCTAAATTAGCCAACTCCATAGAAACTCATTATTATCTAAATTTAGATAGAATTATCTATATTCTTGATCTACGGTTGAGCTATATCTAGAATTTACGTCTATAATTTTGCACAATTAGCGGTATAGAAGCCGCGTATGAATCTTAAGTTACGCAAATAGGCCCTGGATCGAGCATTTCCAAATTAGCATATTTCATAGCTATACAAACAAATATTTATATAAAATAATAAAGGTCTAAAGTAGTTTAGTTTAGTATATAGAAACTCATTATTATCTAAGTAATTATCTATTATCTATATTTTAGATCTACAACTGAGATGTATCTAGAATTTACGTCTATAATTTTGCAAAATTAGCGGTATAGAAGCCGCGTATTGTACTAAAAAGTAAACACATTATGTGGCGTCACTATTCCCACGAAGTTTAGTCAATGTTTGAAAAATGTAAAATTAATGTGGTTAATCTACCAATGAATAAATCAATAAATTAATTAACGTCTTTAAATAAATTTGTGATTAACAGTCTGTCTGAAAACAAAAATTGTTCTCTACCTGCATACTATTTTTTATTAACACGTTTTTCTTAACTCAGCTTCGCGTTTGTTTGTTTGTTTGGATGTTTGTTGTTAAAATTGACATCGAAAATTAGCCCACTTCTGATTGCTCTAGAGATCTGAAATTTGGCATGTATGCTACTTTCGCCTAACAATTTCAGATGCAATCATAAAAACTAGCAATTAGAGACCGTAATTAGCTTAATTTAATTACGCCCCAAGGACCATAAAATTGAGGACATGATTTCTAAAGATACCGACAAGACTGGAGGCCTATTGACACAGTTACTTCGGCCCCAATCGATGTGAGCGCGCTGGCCGTGATCGTATAGCGGTTAGTACTTCGCGTTGAGGCCGCGACAACCCAGGTTCGAATCCTGGTCGCTCAAGATTTTTAGTCCGTGTATTTATAAACACTTAGTCAAGTCATTCTTAATCAAGTCATTAGATAAAGTAGAAAATAAACTATATAAAAAACTTTTTTAAAAACCACGTTTTTCATGTGTAGCAACGGACTAAAAAGGAGAAAATAAAATACTTAAAAAAAACTTTTTAAAAAACCACGTTTTTCTTGTGGACTAAAAAGTAGAAAATAAATTTTCATACATTTGATGACAAAAAACGTGGGTCGGGCAGATGGGTCGGGAAATTTGATGGTGAACGTACCCACGTTTTTTGTCATCAAATGTATGAAAATTTATTTTCTACTTTTTAGTCCACAAGAAAAACGTGTTTTTTTTAAAAAGTTTTTTTTAAGTATTTTATTACAGTTCTGCATATAGCGTAGATCCTCTACAGTAGTCAATCAGAAAAACAAACAAATAAATATTCAAACATGTAAACAAACTTGAGTTTTAGTAGTAGGCCTATATAGATAAATCTTTTGAACTTTGTTAAGTTTAACAAATTCATTTTATTCAGAATTATTGCGCGTAAAAACTAAACCATATTTACAGTCAATAAAAAAAAGTTCAAATGAACTACCAACATTATACATACTATTAATATTTTGCTGTTAGATATTTTGTCTAAGATCATTTGTCCATGATATCATTTGTCCTGATATATTTTGTCCGGTATCTTTTGTCCGTGAGATTATTTGGCCTTGAGATCATTTGTCATGGAATAAATGTATGATATACTACACCATATACCTACTAATGTGACCAACACTACACCATATACCTACTAATGGTTCAAACATATGATATACTACACCATATACCTACTAATGTTACAAACATATGATATACTACACCATATATCTACTAATGTGACCAACATATGATATACTACACTATATACCTACTAATGTTACAAACATATGATATACTACACCATATATCTACTAATGTGACCAACATATGATATACTACACTATATACCTACTAATGTTACAAACATATGATATACTACACCATATATCTACTAATGTGACCAACATATGATATACTACACTATATACCTACTAATGTTACAAACATATGATATACTACACCATATACCTACTAATGTGACCAACATATGATATACTACACCATATACCTACTAATGTGACCAACATATAATATACTACACTATATATCTACTAATGTTACAAACATATGATATACTACACTATATACCTACTAATGTTACAAACATATGATATACTACACCATATACCTACTAATGTGACCAACATATGATATACTACACCATATACCTACTAATGTGACCAACATATAATATACTACACTATATATCTACTAATGTTACAAACATATAATATACTACACTATATATCTACTAATGTTACAAACATATGATATACTACACTATATACCTACTAATGTTACAAACATATGATATACTACACCATATACCTACTAATGTGACTAAGATGTGATATACTACACCATATACCTACTAATGTTACAAACATATGATATACTACACTATATACCTACTAATGGTTCAAACATATGATATACTACACCATATACCTACTAATGTTAAAAACATATGATATACTACACCATATACCTACTAATGTGACCAACATATGATATACTACACCATATATCTACTAATGTTACAAACATATGATATACTACACCATATACCTACTAATGTGACCAACATATGATATACTACACCATATACCTACTAATGGTTCAAACATATGATATACTACACCATATACCTACTAATGTTATAAACATATGATATACTACACCATATACCTACTAATGTTACAAACATATGATATACTACACCATATACCTACTAATGGTTCAAACATATGATATACTACACCATATACCTACTAATGGTTCAAACATATGATATACTACACCATATACCTACTAATGGTTCAAACATATGATATACTACACCATATACCTACTAATGGTTCAAACATATGATATACTACACCATATATCTACTATTGGTTCAAACATATGATATACTACACCATATACCTACTAATGTTACAAACATATGATATACTACACCATATACCTACTAATGTTACAAACATATGATATACTACACCATATACCTACTACTTTGACCTTCTACCTGTTTGTATAAAGAGCATAACAGCAACAAACAAAGATGTAGACACAGATCGCATGTTTGCTGGTGACAACAAATATTTTCTTCATCAACTTTGACGATAGTCTCTATGGATGGGATGATAGTAGCTCTGGTCAAATTAGTGATTCGTGACTGAAACATAGTGACGATTGGTCACGGTTTAAAAAATATGACCTTCTTTCACCCTGCAAGTTTAAGTTGACAGTATACTTAATGTTAGCAGAATTAAGTTAACAACATCAATGATGTTAGCAGAAATTAGTTAACAACAACAATAATGTTAGCAGAATTTAGTTAACTACATCAATGATGTTAGCCGAATTAATCTCAGCGACATTTTTCGTTTCCAGTTAAATATGAAGTTGAGGTGGTGATTTTGGTTTTGGATTTCCCTTAGAGAAAAAAGGACAACGCTATCAACTTAGCGCCCGTTGAAATTTCTCCCTCAACGGGCCATTTATCTAGTATAAGAATATTCGAGAAAGTTTAGGGGAGATCACTCCCGCTTTATTAGAAACCGCTAGAGAGGCGGGGAGGGCAGACATTCTGCAGGGAACCAGAGATGGCTGTCCTCTCTCTTACCGCTAGCGTGACGTATGGCAGCCCGCGTGACCTGGTGTGCTGACACAGGTGTGTTGCCGGCAAACTAATGTGTTATGTGTTGGTTTGGATTGCCGCTTCCGTGTCATGTTTACCCTTTGTTCAATCAAATGATTTTTTATGGATATTTTCCTAACTATCATCAGACAGTTGAAGCGGTGTGTGTGTGTGTGTGTGTATGATTGTGTGTGAGTGTGTATGGTGAGCGTTTATACATGTAACAGATGGTGACACAGACCAGCTTTGCCAACGATGGTGATATTGTGACTTATAATGTGACTTATGGTGATATTGTGACTTATAATGTGACTTATAATGTGACTTATGGTGATATTGTGACTTATAATGTGACTTATGGTGATGATGTGACCCGAGATCTATGGTGCTAAAAATGAAATGTGATGTTTTGTGATACAATGCGATTCTTGCAGACGTCGACTGTACCGCGATTCTTGCAGACGTCGACTGTACCGCGATTCTTGCAGACGTCGACTGTACCGCTACAGCTTTGTCCGAGTACGCACAAGATCGGCACTGTTGTGCTGTGTGTGGTTGTGACGCTACTTCTGATGGCAGGTTAGGATTTGATGTCCGAATGTCATGTCAGGATGTCATCACGTCATGTCAGGATGTCATGACGTCATGTTACGTGTTACAATATCAAGTCATGTGATGTTATACCTTAGGGTTAACACTGAAAAGACATACAGCCATAACATTTATTACATCATCATAATCCTAATTACTGGCTTGGTCTAGGAAACTCAATGTCTGTATCTGTGTCAACATCGTGTTCATCTGTCATGTCAGCACCCATGTCATTGTCATGTCAGTACCGTGTCATTGTAATGTCAGCATTGAGTCAGTGTCATGTCAGCACCGTGTCAGTGCCATGTCAACACCGTGTCAGTGTCATGTCAGCGTCGAATCATTGTCATGTCAGCGCTGTGTCATTGTCATGTCAGCACCCATGTCAATGTCATTTGTATTTGCTGTCAAAACATTAATATGCATGTCATCCTACTATTGATGTCACTAACTGACCACTTTTCTGTGAGACCATAGTGTCCAGCAGTTGCCAGTATGTGACGATATCCCCCTACGTCCAGACGGCCAGTCTGACCAACTGCCATCGAGGACTGCTGCAAGAAGTCGACCAATTGGTCTTCAGCAGCCAAATAAGTTTTGGTAACAGCACGTCTGATTGGAGGAGTGTGGTCACGTACACAGTGGCTGATCAGGACAACGATTTCGTACGTTTGTCATTGTATTTGTGATTGTATGTGTGATTGTATGTGTGATTGTATTTGTGATTGTACTTGTGATTGTATTTGTGATTGAATGTGTGATTGTATTTGTGATTGTATTTGTGATTGTATGTGTGATTGTATGTGTGATTGTATTTGTGATTGTATTTGTGATTGTATTTGTGATTGTATTTGTGATTATATTTGTGAGTGTATGTGTGATTGTATTTGTGATTGTATTTGTGATTGTATTTGTAATTATATTTGACGTGGGGGACGGGGGGGGGGGGGGGGGTGATTTGGTGAGTTAGATTTACACGACGGAATTGAAGTAATTTGTCGAAATGTTAGATTTTAAAAGTTACTTGGCTCGATTTTTTTAATGTTGTAGATCTAAAACATGCATAAACCTTTTATAGTCATTAAATGTTGTAGATCTAGATCATGCATAAACCTTCTATAGTCATTAAATGTTGTAGTTGTAGATCTAAGACATGCATAAACCTGCTTTAGTCATTAAATGTTGTAGATCTAAAACATGCATAAACCTTCTATAGTCATTAAATGTTGTAGTTGTAGATCTAAGTCACAGGGGTCTCCAAACTTTTTAGTCCAAGGGCCGCATTAACTATAAAATTTCAGTTCGAGGGCCAGTTTCTTCCAGTGTGTCTTTGATTTTTCTGGGCAAAATTCCTCAGCCATCACCAACAAACGTTTTTTTCCGTGGACAAAAAGATCTCCGCGGGCCGGAAGAGAGGACCTCGCGGGCCGCACCCGGCCCGCGGGCCGTAGTTTGGAGACCCCTGATCTAAGACATGCATAAACCTGCTTTAGTCATTAAATGTTGTAGTTGTAGATCTAAGACATGTATAAACCTGCTTTAGTCATTAAATGTTGTAGTTGTAGATCTAAAACATGCATAAACCTTCTATAGTCATTAAATGTTGTAGTTGTAGATCTAAAACATGCATAAACCTTCTATAGTCATTAAATGTTGTAGTTGTAGATCTAAGACATGCATAAACCTGCTTTAGTCATTAAATGCTATAGATCTAAAACATGCATAAACCTTCTATAGTCATTAAATGTTGTAGATCTAGATCATGCATAAACCTTCTGTAGTCAGTAAATGTTGTAGTTGTAGATCTAAAACATGCATAAACCTTCTATAGTCATTAAATGTTGTAGTTGTAGATCTAAAACATGCTATAGTCAGTGACTATTTTACAGCGTTGTGCCGTGGATGTTAAATACGGTTGTCATGGTTACAAGAATGAATTGTGTTACTGCAACCACACAGACAACAGCAACCCTATGGTGTTCCACATCATCATTAACATGACAGCACTACAACGGTACAACCAGTCCACGATCTCTGGCTTCATATACAGCCCTGTTCATGGCCGTGTGTACAGCAACAGCCAGCAGCTGCCAACTATATACTGTAGGTACACGGGCCATATATCATAGCTGGGCCAATTTAAAGTGGCCACATATCATAGCTGGGCCAATTTAAAGTGGCCACATATCATGGCTGGGCCAATTTAAAGTGGCCACATATCATAGCTGGGCCAATTTAAAGTGGCCACATATCATGGCTGGGCCAATTTAAAGTGGCCACATATCATAGCTGGGCCAATTTAAAGTGGCCACATATCATAGCTGGGCCAATTTAAAGTGGCCACATATCATAGCTGGGCCAATTTAAAGTGGCCACATATCATAGCTGGGCCAATTTAAAGTGGCCACATATCATAGCTGGGCCAATTTAAAGTGGCCACATATCATAGCTGGGCCAATTTAAAGTGGCCACATATCACAGCTCCGCCAATTTAAAGTGGCTTATGATGTCACTTACATCTTGTGATGTCACTTACATATCGTGAAATCACTTACATCTTGTGATGTCACTTACATATCGTGAAATCACTTACATCTTGTGATGTCACTTACATATCGTGAAATCACTTACATCTTGTGATGTCACTTACATATCGTGAAATCACTTACATCTTGTGATGTCACTTACATATCGTGAAATCACTTACATCTTGTGATGTCACTTACATATCGTGAAATCACTTACATCTTGTGATGTCACTTACATATCGTGGAATCACTTACATCTTGTGATGTCACTTACATATCGTGAAATCACTTACATCTTGTGATGTCACTTACATATCGTGAAATCACTTATATCTCGTGATGTCACTTACATCTTGTGATGTCACTTACATATCGTGAAATCACTTACATCTCGTGATGTCACATACATCATATATGTCACATACACCTGGTGATGCCACAAACATCGTGTGATGTTACATGTATGTTAGATGTAACATACATCTTGTGATGTTACATACATATATCACATACATCTTGTGATGTTACATACATGTTAGATGCCACAAACATCGTGTGATGTCACATGCATGTTAGATGAAACACACATCTTGTGATGTTACATACAGATATCACATACATCTTGTGATGTTACATACATGTTAGATGTCACAAACATCGTGTGATGTCACAAACATCTTGTGATGTCACTTACAGCGTGTGGTGTCACATACATCTTGTGATGTTGCATACATTTCAGATGTCACATACATCTTGTGATGTTGCATACATCTTAGATGCCACATACATCTTGTGATGTCACATACATCTTGTGATGTTACATACATTTTAGATGTCACATACATCTCAAATGTCACATATAGGTAGTAATGTTACATTTAGCTTGTGATTACATATTTATTTTTAGATGTTGTTTATTTCAGCACATGACTCTCTGCTGTTACTAATCAACAAGAAACCACTGAACAAAACCCACTGTTCATTTGACCTCCAGCAGGCCGAACAGCCGGTGACATTGTGCTGTCTGCAAACAGCTGAGCCGTGTACAGCCGCGGTGCTGTATGACGGACAGCAAGTGTCTGTCGGGTCGCAATGTGTGACCTTCACATTCAACAAAACTCACACATCTAATTCAAGCCTTGTCTTTAAATACAATGTGTGTGGTTCACACTCATGGACAGACAACTTTACCTGCTCTTTTATTTGGGGTAAAATCTGCTTCGTTTTATTTGGGGTAAAATCTGCTTCGTTTTATTTGGGGTAAAATCTGCTTCGTTTTATTTGGGGTAAAATCTACTTCGTTTTATTTGGGGTAAAATCTGCTTCGTTTTATTTGGGGTAAAATCTACTTCGTTTTATTTGGGGTAAAATCTGCTTCGTTTTATTTGGGGTAAAATCTGCTTCGTTTTATTTGGGGTAAAATCTGCTTCGTTTTATTTGGGGTAAAATCTGCTTCGTTTTATTTGGGGTAAAATCTGCTGCGTTTTATTTGGGGTAAAATCTACTTCGTTTTATTTGGGGTAAAATCTACTTCGTTTTATTTGGGGTAAAATCTGCTTCGTTTTATTTGGGGTAAAATCTGCTTCGTTTTATTTGGGGTAAAATCTGCTTCGTTTTATTTGGGGTAAAATCGGTTTCTTTTTATTTGGGGCAATATTTTTGTTTTTATTCGTGGTAAAATATGTTGTTTTTCTTTGGAATAAAATATGTTTCCATTTGTTTGGGGTAAGACCTTTTTTTTAAATTTTGCGGATAAATTTGTTTCCTTTTGATTGGGGTACAATTTTAGTATTGAATTGTCAAAAATTATTCTAAATCCTAGCAAAACTATCAAACAGGCTTATTGCTTTATTCAATTTGAATTATGTAACGATTATTTCCCTTAGATATCCCAGCTCCACCCAGCAGCGCTTTCATTGACGTCATCTTGATTGTGGGTGTATTTGTTATTGCCGCCATCGTCATCCTAGTTGCCGTTGCAGTGGTCATCTATCGCAGAAGTGAGTTTATCCATGTGTAGTGGTGTGGTGTTAAAGGTGTGTCTTCACAAGGTGTTGGTGGTGTGTTGTAATGTGGTGTTGTATGTCTACTGTAGTGTATTGTTTTTGTATGTGTGTCAAGTAGTGGTGTTGTTGTAGGTGGCGCTGTTTGTACTTTATGATGTTGTAGGTGGTGTTGTTTGTACTTTTTAGTATGATGTTGTATGTACGCCGTGGTTTCGTGCAACTAATTGCAAATAAAAACCATAATGAGGGGGAATTATTTAATTGACGTATGTAGTGTCACGTTGACCTGTCGTGTAGGCCTATATGAATGAATATGTTCAAGTTTAAGATCGATTCGGGTCCATCACGAGCCAGAAAATGTTCTATCGATTTTGTCATGTGACACACCGTGTTTGTAATGGAAATATGAAAAACATTGCATAAGACATCAATGAGTTAGTTGGTGTATGTCAATAATGAGTTAGCTGGTGTATGGCATTGAGGTAGTTGGTGTATGACATTGATGAGTTTGTGTGTCGCAATAATGAAGCAGTTGGTGTATGCAATTTAATTGAAACGTTTCAAGTTAAAATATTACTACTTGGATAATGAATTTTCCCTCCCTGCATACAGAAAGAAGCTTTAAATTGGAGAGTAATTTTATGTATTTATTTCAGAAAGACGTGGCGGAAAAAAACTATGGGACATTAACAAAGTGGTGAGTAACTAATAGTAGTGTGTGAGTGAGTTGAATGATGTTGGTGTGTGAGTTGAATGATGTTGGTGTGTGAGTGAGTTGAATGATGCTGGTGTGTGAGTTGAATGATGTTGGTGTGTGAGTTGAATGATGTTGGTGTGTGAGTTGAATGATGTTGGTGTGTGAGTTGAATGATGTTGGTGTGTGAGTTGAGTGATGTTGGTGTGTGAGTTGAGTGATGTTGGTGTGTGAGTTGAAAGATGTTGGTGTGTGAGTTGAGTGATGTTGGTGTGTGAGTTGAATGATGTTGGTGTGTGAGTTGAATGATGTTGGTGTGTAAGTGAGTTGATTGATGTTTGTGTGTGAGTGAGTTGAATGATGTTGGTGTGTGAGTTGAATGATGTTGGTGTGTGAGTTGAATGATGTTGGTGTGTAAGTGAGTTGAATGATGTTGGTGTGTGAGTTGAATAATGTTGGTGTGTGTGTGAGTTGAATGATGTTGGTGTGTGAGTTGAATGATGTTGGTGTGAGTGTGAGTTGAATGATGTTGGTGTGTGTGTGAGTTGAATGATGTTGATGTGTATGTGAGTTGAATGATGTTGGTGTGTGAGTTGAATGATGTTGGTGTGTGAGTTGAATGATGTTGGTGTGTGAGTTGAATTATGTGGGTGTTTGAGTGAGTTGAATGATGTTGGTGTGTGAGTTGAGTGATGTTAGTGTGTGTGTGAGTTGAATAATGTTGGTATGTGAGTTGAATTATGTTGGTGCGTGAGTTGAATGATGTTGGTGTGTGATTTGAATGATTTTGGTGTGTGAGTTGAATGATGTTGGTGTGTGAGTTGAATGAAATTGGTGTGTGAGTGAGTTGATTGATGTTGGTGTGTGAGTGAGTTGATTGATGTTGGTGTGTGAGTTGAATGATGTTGGTGTGTGAGTGAGTTGATTGATGTTTGTGTGTGTGTAAGTTGAATGATGTTGGTGTGTGAGTTGAATGATGTTGTTGTGTAAGTGAGTTGATTGATGTTTGAGTGTGTGTGAGTTGAATGATGTTGGTGTGTGAGTTGAATGATGTTGGTGTGTGAGTTGAATGATGTTGGTGTGTAAGTGAGTTGAATGATGTTGGTGTGTGAGTTGAATGATGTTGGTGTGTGTGTGAGTTGAATGATGTTGGTGTGTGAGTTGAATGATTTTGGTGTGTGAGTTGAATGATGTTGGTGAGTGAGTTAAATATTGTTGTTGAGTGAGTTGAATGATGTTGGTGTGTGAGTTGAATGATGTTGGTGTGTGAGTTGAATGATGTTGGTGTGTGAGTTGAATGATGTTGGTGTGTGAGTTGAGTGATGTTGGTGTGTGAGTTGAGTGATGTTGGTGTGTGAGTTGAATGATGTTGGTGTGTGAGTTGAGTGATGTTGGTGTGTGAGTTGAATGATGTTGGTGTGTGAGTTGAATGATGTTGGTGTGTAAGTGAGTAGATTGATGTTTGTGTGTGAGTGAGTTGAATGATGTTGGTGTGTGAGTTGAATGATGTTGGTGTGTGAGTTGAATGATGTTGGTGTGTGAGTTGAGTGATGTTGGTGTGTGTGTGAGTTGAATGATGTTGGTGTGTGAGTTGAATGATTTTGGTGTGTGAGTTGAATGATGTTGGTGTGTAAGTGAGTTGAATGATGTTTGTGTGTAAGTGAGTTGATTGATGTTGGTGTGTGAGTGAGTTGAATGATGTTTGTGTGTAAGTGAGTTGAATGATGTTGGTGTGTGAGTTGAATGATGTTTGTGTGTAAGTGAGTTGAATGATGTTGGTGTGTGAGTTGAATGATGTTGGTGTGCAAGTGAGTTGACTGATGTTTGTGTGTAAGTGAGTTGATTGATGTTGGTGTGTGAGTTGAATGATGTTGGTGTGTGAGTTGAATGATGTTGGTGTGTGAGTTGATTGATGTTGGTGTGTGAGTTGAATGATGTTGGTGTGTCAGTTAGTTGATTGATGTTTGTGTGTAAGTGAGTTGATTGATGTTTGTGTGTGTGAGTTGAATGATGTTGGTGAGTGAGTTGAATGATGTTGGTGTGTAAGTGAGTTGAATGATGTTGGTGTGTGAGTTGATTGATGTTTGTGTGTAAGTGAGTTGATTGAAGTTTGTGTGTGTGTGAGTTGAATGATGTTGGTATGTGAGTTGAATGATGTTGGTGTGTGAGTTGAATGATGTTGGTGTGTGAGTTGAATGATGTTGGTGTGTGAGTTGAATGATGTTTGTGTGTAAGTGAGTTGATTGATGTTTGTGTGTGTGTGTGTGAGTTGAATGATGTTGGTGTCTGAGTTGAATGATGTTGGTGTGTGAGTTGAATGATGTTGGTGTGTGAGTTGAGTGATGTTGGTGTGTGTGTGAGTTGAATGATGTTGGTGTGTGAGTTGAATGATTTTGGTGTGTGAGTTGAATGATGTTGGTGTGTAAGTGAGTTGAATGATGTTTGTGTGTAAGTGAGTTGATTGATGTTGGTGTGTGAGTGAGTTGAATGATGTTTGTGTGTAAGTGAGTTGAATGATATTGGTGTGTGAGTTGAATGATGTTGGTGTGTGAGTTGAATGATGTTTGTGTGTAAGTGAGTTGAATGATGTTGGTGTGTGAGTTGAATGATCTTGGTGTGTAAGTGAGTTGACTGATGTTTGTGTGTAAGTGAGTTGATTGATGTTGGTGTGTGAGTTGAATGATGTTGGTGTGTGAGTTGATTGATGTTGGTGTGTGAGTTGAATGATGTTGGTGTGTGAGTTGAATGATGTCGGTGTGTGAGTTGATTGATGTTTGTGTGTAAGTGAGTTGATTGATGTTTGTGTGTGTGAGTTGAATGATGTTGGTGAGTGAGTTGAATGATGTTGGTGTGTAAGTGAGTTGAATGATGTTGGTGTGTGAGTTGATTGATGTTTGTGTGTAAGTGAGTTGATTGATGTTTGTATGTGTGTGAGTTGAATGATGTTGGTGTGTGAGTTGAATGATGTTGGTGTGTGAGTTGAATGATGTTGGTGTGTGAGTTGAATGATGTTGGTGTGTGAGTTGAATGATGTTTGTGTGTAAGTGAGTTGATTGATGTTTGTGTGTGTGTGTGTGTGAGTTGAATGATGTTGGTGTGTGAGGTGAATTATGTTGGTGTGTGAGTTGAATGATGTTTGTGTGTGTGTGAGTTGAATGGTGTTGGTGTGTAAGTGAGTTGAATGATGTATGTGTGTGTGTGAGTTGAATGATGTTGGTGTGTGAGTTGAGTGATGTTGGTGTGTGAGTTGAATGATGTTGGTGTGTGAGTTGAATGATGTTGGTGTGTGAGTTGAATGATGTTGGTGTGTAAGTGAGTTGAATGATGTTGGTGTGTGAGTTGAATGATGTTGTTGTGTGAGTTGAATGATGTTGGTGTGTGAGTTGAATGATGTTTGTGTGTGAGTTGAATGATGTTGGTGTGTGAGTTGAATGATGTTTGTGTGTGTGTGAGTTGAATGATGTTGGTGTGTAAGTGAGTTGAATGATGTTGGTGTGTGAGTTGAATGATGTTGGTGTGTGAGTTGAATGATGTTGGTGTGTGAGTTGAATGATGTTTGTGTTTGAGTTAGTTGATTGATGTTTGTGTGTAAGTGAGTTGAATGATGTTTGTGTGTAAGTGAGTTGAATGATGTTTGTGTGTAAGTGAGTTGAATGATGTTTGTGTGTAAGTGAGTTGATTGATGTTGGTGTGTGAGTTGAATGATGTTGGTGTGTGAGTGAGTTGATTGATGTTTGTGTGTAAGTGAGTTGATTGATGTTTGTGTGTGTGAGTTGAATGATGTTGGTGTGTGAGTTGAATGATGTTGGTGTGTGAGTTGAATGATGTTGGTGTGTAAGTGAGTTGAATGATGTTGGTGAGTGAGTTGAATGATGTTGGTGTGTGAGTTGAATGATGTTGGTGTGTAAGTGAGTTGAATGATGTTGGTGTGTGAGTTGAATGATGTTGGTGTGTGAGTTGAATGATGTTGGTGTGTAAGTGAGTTGAATGATGTTGGTGTGTCAGTTGAATGATGTATGTGTGTGTGTGATTGAATGATGTTGGTGTGTGAGTGAATGATGTGTGTGTGTGATTGAATGATGTTGGTGTGTGAGTTGAATGATGTTGGTGTGTGAGTTGAATGATGTTGGTGTGTGATTGAGTTGAATGATATTGGTGTGAGAATCGGTTAAAATGATCTTTAATTGAATTAGGGCTTCCCCAATACTCCATAGATCTTTAAAATGTTCTGTAATTAATTTCCAGAGAACAGAACAGACAAGTCCCATAATGTAAACTTGCTGTGATAGTAAACCTGCAGATATTGGTTGTTTTCTTCTGTCAACTGATGACACAGTGAAACAGATAGTTTGATTGGTTGAGAGCTGTCTATTTTTTTGATGCGATTCGCCTTAGAGGCTTCTTAATTTATCTCCAGCTTTAGCGATGTTAGTCATTGCCTTCCAGCGATGTCATGTCATTAAATGTCAATTATGTCACGCCATTTAGATTTCAATATAAATCTGAACAAAAAATACAACTGCAATTTTATGTTTGATTAAGTGTAATACACATTACCTCGCCACATCCACATTGCTTTGCTTTGAGATACATTTTCGCTATGGATCTGACAAAGTTTACAAAACTGTATTTTGTAAGATACGAGTGTATATGTTTCAGACAAAATTAAAACACAATGCATAATTTTAATATTTTTTTAACTGTTTATATGTTAATGCTTAGAGAATTTAATTTGCTTTTTAATCAGGTGTATTAAAGACAACATGCAAACTGTTTCAGCAATATGTTCTATGGAGCTGCATCTTACCTAGTATGGGTTATACATTAATTTATTAAAAATGTTTAATTATCACAGACTGTGTTGTTAAATAAAACTGTTTTTTTTTCTTGACTTGAAACAAAAGCATCAAATGGTTTACAGTGAATTTGTTGAATTTCTATTACTCGTTTGTGACTTAATGCATGGTGTGGTTGTGACTTTGTTGATTGCGTGGTGTGCTGTGACTGTTGATTGCGTGGTGTGGTTGTGAATTATTGCCTGGTGTGGTTGTAATTTTGTTGAGTGGGTTTATGAACACTAAACAAACCAAACTTGTGTTATCCAGAAATGTTTAGCACTTGTTACGGTCAAAGTCACAGCAACTGTCCATCACACCTAACATAACAATAGTACCAATACACTAGACGTGACAATAGTACCAATACACTAGACGTGACAATAGTACCAATACACTAGACGTGACAATAGTACCAATACCCTAGACGTGACAATAGTACCAATACCCTAGACGTGACAATAGTACCAATACACTAGACGTGACAATAGTACCAATACACTAGACGTGACAATAGTACCAATACACTAGACGTGACAATAGTACCAATACCCTAGACGTGACAATAGTACCAATACACTAGACGTGACAATAGTACCAATACACTAGACGTGACAATAGTACCAATACACTAGACGTAACAATAGTACCAATACACTAGACGTGACAATAGTACCAATACACTAGACGTGACAATAGTACCAATACACTAGACGTAACAATAGTACCAATACACTAGACGTGACAATAGTACCAATACACTAGACGTGACAATAGTACCAATACACTAGACGTGACAATAGTACCAATACCCTAGACGTGACAATAGTACCAATACACTAGACGTGACAATAGTACCAATACACTAGACGTGACAATAGTACCAATACACTAGACGTGACAATAGTACCAATACACTAGACGTAACAATAGTACCAATACACTAGACGTGACAATAGTACCAATACTCTAGACGTGACAATAGTACCAATACACTAGACGTGACAATAGTACCAATACACTAGACGTGAAACTAGTACCAATACACGAAACGTAACAATAGTACCAATACACTAGACGTGACAATAGTACCAATACACTAGTCGTGACAATAGTACCAATACACTAGGCGTGACAATAGTACCAATACACTAGACGTGACAATAGTACCAATACACTAACCGTGACAATAGTACCAATACCCTAGACGTGACAATAGTATTAATACACTAGACGTGATAATAGTATTAATACACTAGACGTGACAATAGTGCCAATACAACAGACGTGACAATAGTACCAATACACTAGACGTGACAATAGTACCAATACACTAGAGGAGACAATAGTGCCAATACACTAGACGTGACAATAGTACCAATACACTAGACGTGACAATAGTACCAATACAACAGACGTGACAATAGTACCAATACACTAGACGTGACAATAGTATTAATACACTAGACGTGATAATAGTATTAATACACTAGACGTGACAATAGTGCCAATACAACAGACGTGACAATAGTACCAATACACTAGACGTGACAATAGTACCAATACACTAGACGAGACAATAGTGCCAATACACTAGACGTGACAATAGTACCAATACACTAGACGTGACAATAGTACCAATACACTAGACGTGACAATAGTACCAATACAACAGACGTGACAATAGTACAAATACACTAGACGTGACAATAGTACCAATACACTAGACGTGACAATAGTACCAATACACTAGACGAGACAATAGTACCAATACACTAGACGTGACAATAGTATAATACACTAGACGTGACAATAGTACAAAACACCAGACGTGAAAATAGTACCAATACACGAAACGTAACAATAGTACCAATACACTAGACGTGACAATATTACCAATACACTAGTCGTGACAATAGTACCAATACACTAGGCGTGACAATAATACCAATACACTAGACGTGACAATAGTACCAATACACTAACCGTGACAATAGTACCAATACAACAGACGTGACAATAGTACCAATACACTAGACGTGACAATAGTACCAATACACTAGACGAGACAATAGTGCCAATACACTAGACGTGACAATAGTACCAATACACTAGACGTGACAATAGTACCAATACAACAGACGTGACAATAGTACCAATACACTAGACGTGACAATAGTATTAATACACTAGACGTGATAATAGTATTAATACACTAGACGTGACAACAGTGCCAATACAACAGACGTGACAATAGTACCAATACACTAGACGTGACAATAGTACCAATACACTAGACGTGACAATAGTACCAATACACTAGACGAGACAATAGTACCAATACACTAGACGTGACAATAGTACCAATACAACAGACGTGACAATAGTACCAATACACTAGACGTGACAATAGTACCAATACACTAGACGTGACAATAGTACCAATACACTAGACGTGACAATAGTACCAATACAACAGACGTGACAATAGTACCAATACAACAGACGTGACAATAGTACCAATACACTAGACGTAACAATAGTACCAATACACTAGACGTGACAATAGTACCAATACACTAGACGTGACAATAGTACCAATACAACAGACGTGACAATAGTATTAATACACTAGACGTGACAATAGTACCAATACACTAGACGTAACAATAGTACCAATACACTAGACGAGACAATAGTACCAATACACTAGACGTGACAATAGTACCAATATACTAGACGTGACAATAGTACCAATACACTAGACGTGACAATAGTACCAATACAACAGACGTGACAATAGTACCAATACAACAGACGTGACAATAGTACCAATACACTAGACGTAACAATAGTACCAATACACTAGACGTGACAATAGTACCAATACACTAGACGTGACAATAGTACCAATACAACAGACGTGACAATAGTATTAATACACTAGACGTGACAATAGTACCAATACACTAGACGTGACAATAGTACCAATACACTAGTCGTGACAATAGTACCAATACACTAGGCGTGACAATAGTACCAATACACTAGACGTGACAATAGTACCAATACACTAACCGTGACAATAGTACCAATACCCTAGACGTGACAATAGTATTAATACACTAGACGTGATAATAGTATTAATACACTAGACGTGACAATAGTGCCAATACAACAGACGTGACAATAGTACCAATACACTAGACGTGACAATAGTACCAATACACTAGACGAGACAATAGTGCCAATACACTAGACGTGACAATAGTACCAATACACTAGACGTGACAATAGTACCAATACAACAGACGTGACATTAGTACCAATACACTAGACGTGACAATAGTATTAATACACTAGACGTGATAATAATATTAATACACTAGACGTGACAATAGTGCCAATACAACAGACGTGACAATAGTACCAATACACTAGACGTGACAATAGTACCAATACACTAGACGTGACAATAGTACCAATACACTAGACGTGACAATAGTACCAATACACTAGACGTGACAATAGTACCAATACACTAGACGTGACAATAGTACCAATACACTAGACGTGACAATAGTACCAATACACTAGACGTGACAATAGTACCAATACAACAGACGTGACAATAGTACCAATACACTAGACGTAACAATAGTACCAATACACTAGACGTGACAATAGTACCAATACACTAGACGTGACAATAGTACCAATACACTAGACGTGACAATAGTACCAATACACTAGACGTAACAACATGGACTTTAACCACTTGACGTAACAACCCACTTTATGCCAGTCACATGTCTGTTTTTTGTTTGAGTTAAGGTCATGTTATGTCGGTTTTTGTTTGAGTTAAGGTCATGTTATGTCGGTTTTTGTTTGAGTTAAGGTAGTGTTGATGTCTGTTTTTTGTTTGAGTTAAGGTAGTGTTTATGTCTGTTTTTTTGTTTGAGTTAAGGTAGTGTTTATGTCAGTAGTATATTAGGTCCCTTTTGGACCGCAGGCGCAGGTTGAGGCGGATGGTGAGGCGGAGGCGGAGGCGGAACAAAGGCTATTTAGGAAAATACTCCCCGCCTGGGTGAGGCGGAGGGACAATGACATATAGCAAAATACTCACCCACCTGGCGGTGGTGGTTGAGCCGGAGGTACAACGGGATATAGTAAAATACTCCCTGGGGGAGGTGGAGGTACATCCACATATAGTAAAATACTCACCCAACTGGGTGAAGGTGGGTGAGGCGGAGGAGCCGGGGGTAAAACGACATATAGTAAAATACTCACCCACCTGGGTGAGCAGGTGGGTGAGGCGGAGGTACAATGAGATATAGTAAAATACTCACCCACCTGGGGGAGGCGGAGGCGGTGGGTGATCAGGTGGGGGGTGACTTTGTGACGTAATCAGTGACCTTGTGACGTAATCAGTGATCTAGTTACGTAATTTTAATGAGATTTTAATGAGTTTTTTAATTAGTTTGAATTTAATGTCTTAAATTTTAATTAATTTTTATTAACGAGTTACGTAATTTGATTATTTGGTTGATTATTTTTTTAATTTTAATTTATTATTTGTTTATTTTTAAATTTCTAAATTTTTAAATTTTAAATTTTTTATTAACGAGTTACGTAATTGGATTTTAATTTTTTAATTTTTTTAAATTTTTTAATTTTTTAAATCTTTAAATTTTTTAAATTTTAATTTTGTAATTTTAATTTATTATTAGTTTGATTTTAATTAATTTGATTTATAAATTTTTAATTAATTTTTATTAACGAGTTACGTAATTTGATTATTTGTTTATTTTTTAATTAATTTTATTTTAATTAATTTTTTTTTAAATTTAAATTAGTTTGATATTAATTTTTTAAATTTTTAAATTTTTATTTTGTAATTTTTATTAACTAGTTACGTAATTGAATTTTAATTTTTTAAATTTTTAAATTTAAATTTTATTTTTAAAATTTTTAAATTTTATTAACGAGTTTTAATTAATTTGATTATTTGTTTGTATTTTGTTTGTTTATTTTTAATTAGTTTAATTATTATTAACTAGTTGCGTAATTGGATTTTAATTTTTTTAAATTTTTAAAATTTTTAAAGTTTTAAATTTTTTAAATTATTATTTTTTAATTTTAAATTGTTTAATTGTTGTTTACTTGTTGTTTATTTGTTTGAAATTCATTTTAATTAGTTTGATTTTAATTTTTATATTCTCCAACACAACGCTAACGCTGACGAAAATAGAAGGTTCTTTGTGTCCTGACTTAACGCCAGCTGTTACTCGCTAATGGCACCCCGCACGCAACGATCTACTAGTGAAGTTTTCCCGTTGACAGCTCAGTTTGATTTAAGTCGGGTTCACTGAAGCGAACACCACAGGGGGTCTAGCGTTTAATGGGATCCATTAGATGCTTCTCACCGAAGCCAATATGCGACAGCTGGTACCGCACTTTCCACTAACAGTTATACGTACAGTGTCATAGGTTTTTTGATCGAGTAAAGAAATAATATTGATCGACCCGCGTCGACCCTGTGTGTTGGGCGCCACACCTAGCATGCTAAACGTATACACATTCACACACACACACACACACACACACACACTTCTTATATTTTATTTATATTTTATTTATTTATTAACGTTTTTTCCAAGTCATCAAATGCTTTTAAAATATCACGGAGTAAACTTAACAAGTGTTCAAAAAAACACTACGCAAATAGTTAAAAATAATTAAACTAATTAAAAATTAAAATTTAAAAAATTAAACTAATTAAAAATAAACAAACAAAATACAAACAATTAACCAAATTACGTAACTTGTCAATAAAATTTAAAAATTTAAAAAATAAAATTTAAAATTTAAAAATTTAAAAAATTAAAATTCAATTACGTAACTAGTTAATAAAAATTACAAAATAAAATTTTAAATTTTAAAAAATTAAAATAAAACTAATTAAAATTTAAAAATAAAATTTAAAAAACAAAATTAATTAAAAAATAAACAAATAATCAAATGACGTAACTCGTTAATAAAAATTAATTAAAAATTTAAAAAATCAAATTAATTAAAATCAAACTAATAATAAATTAAAATTACAAAATTTAAATTTAAAAATTTAAAAATTTAAAAAATTTAAAAATTTTTAAAAATTTAAAAATTAAAATCCAATTACGTAACTCGTTAATAAAAAATTTAAAATTTAAAATTTAGAAATTTAAAAAATTAAAAATAAACAAATAATAAATTAAAATTAAAAAAATAATCAAACAAATAATCAAATTACGCAACTCGTTAATAAAAATTAATTAAAATTTAAGACATTAAATTCAAACTAATTAAAAAACTCATTAAAATCTCATTAAAATTACGTAACTAGATCACTGATTACGTCACAAGGTCACTGATTACGTCACAAGGTCAGCCCCCACCTGATCACCCACCGCCTCCGCCTCCCCCAGGTGGGTGAGTATTTTACTATATCTCATTGTACCTCCGCCTCACCCACCTGCTCACCCAGGTGGGTGAGTATTCTACTATATGTCGTTGTACCACCGGCTCCTCCGCCTCACCCACCTTCACCCAGTTGGGTGAGTATTTTCCTATATGTGGATGTACCTCCAGCTCCCCCAGGGAGTATTTTACTATATCCCGTTGTACCTCCGGCACCTCACCCTCCGGCAGGTGGGTGAGTATTTTGCTATATGTCATTGTCCCTCCGCCTCACCCAGGCGGGGAGTATTTTCCTATATAGCCTTTGTTCCGCCTCCGCCTCACCATCCGCCTCACCCTGCGCCTGCGCCTGCGGTCCAAAAGGGATCTAATATACTACTTATGTCGGTTTCTTGTTTGAGTTAAGGTCATGTTCATGTCGGTTTCCAGAATGTTCAACACACTGCTGTAGTCTGTGTTGGTTAATGTACCATAAGATCATGTTGTGGTAGAACTCAATGAACAATGACAACACACAGAACCTTTACTCGTAATAAACTTTACACGGATCGTCCCGTGAAATAAATCTTTAGCTCTACCAGAAGACTAACAGCGCTGGAACTAGTAGGATCATGTTGTCGAGCTTAGAGGGAATTCCCGAAAATGTTTTTCAAATCAGAAACCATTTGTGACAAGTATGTTATTCAGTTGATTTTACTAGACAATCATTAATTTGTTGGTCTTTTTCAGTTGATTTTACTAGACAATCATTAATTTGTTGGTGTTATTCAGTTGATTTTCCTAGACAATCATTAATTTGTTGGTGTTATTCAGTTGATTTTACTAGAAAATCATTAATTTGTTGGTGTTATTCAGTTGATTTTACTAGACAATCATTAATTTGTTGGTGTTATTCAGTTGATTTTACTAGACAATCCTTGACTTTAAGTGTGATTAATTAGCTATCAGGTGAGTTTACTACTAAATATTAGGCTAGTTTACTGATATATGTGTGTTCAAAATCTCTATTGGTCAGCAAGATTGGTCACGAAGATTGACCCCTGTGTAGATGGCACTTCTAAGTTTATCCAGTTGGTTTAGTGTAGGAACTTAGGGTTAGGGTTGTAGTAGCAACAATGTGTTATGTGCTAAGTGTTGTGTGCTAAGTGTTGTGTGCTAAGTGTCGTGTGCTAAGTGTCGTGTGCTAAGTGTCGTGTGCTAAGTGTCGTGTGCTAAGTGTCGTGTGCTAAGTGTCGTGTGCTAAGTGTCGTGTGCTAAGTGTCGTGTGCTAAGTGTCGAGTGCTAAGTCGTGTGTGCTAAGTGTCGTGTGCTAAGTGGTGTGTGCTGTGGTGTGTTCTAAGTGTCGAGTGCTAAGGGGTGTGTGCTAAGTGGTGTGTGCTAAGTGGTGTGTGCTAAGTCGTGTGTGCTAAGTGGTATGTGCTAAGTCGTGTGCTAAGTGGTGTGTGCTAAGTGGTGTGTGCTAAGTGGTGTGTGCTAAGTGGTGTGTGCTAAGTGGTGTGTGCTAAGTGGTGTGTGCTAAGTGGTGTGTGCTAAGTGGTGTGTGCTAAGTGGTGTGTGCTAAGTGGTGTGTGCTAGGTCGTGTGTGCTAAGTGGTGTGTGCTAAGTGGTGTGTGCTAAGTGGTGTGTGTTAAGTGGTGTGTGCTAAGTGGTGTGTGCTAAGTGGTGTGTGCTAAGTGGTGTGTGCTAATTGGTGTGTGATAAGTGTTGTGTGCTAAGTGTTGTGTGCTAAGTGGTGTGTGCTAAGTGGTGTGTGCTAAGTGGTGTGTGCTAAGTGGTGTGTGCTAAGTGGTGTGTGCTAAGTGGTGTGTGCTAAGTGGTGTGTGCTAAGTGGTGTGTGCTAAGTGGTGTGTGCTAAGTGGTGTGTGCTAAGTGGTGTGTGCTAAGTGGTGTGTGCTAAGTGGTGTGTGCTAAGTGGTGTGTGCTAAGTGGTGTGTGCTAAGTGGTGTGTGCTAAGTGGTGTGTGCTAAGTGGTGTGTGCTAAGTGGTGTGTGCTAAGTGGTGTGTGCTAAGTGGTGTGTGCTAAGTGGTGTGTGCTAAGTGGTGTGTGCTAAGTGGTGTGTGCTAAGTGGTGTGTGCTAAGTGGTGTGTGCTAAGTGGTGTGTGCTAAGTGGTGTGTGCTAAGTGGTGTGTGCTAAGTGGTGTGTGCTAAGTGGTGTGTGCTAAGTGGTGTGTGCTAAGTGGTGTGCGCTAAGTGGTGTGCGCTAGGTCGTGTGCGCTAAGTGGTGTGTGCTAAGTGGTGTGTGCTAAGTGGTGTGCGCTAGGTCGTGTGCGCTAAGTGGTGTGTGCTAAGTGGTGTGTGCTAAGTGGTGTGTGCTAAGTGCTGTGTGCTAAGTGGTGTGTGCTAAGTGGTGTGTGCTAAGTGGTGTGTGCTAAGTGGTGTGTGCTAAGTGGTGTGTGCTAAGTCGTGTGTGCTAAGTGGTGTGTGCTAAGTGGTGTGTGCTAAGTGGTGTGTGCTAAGTGGTGTGTGCTAAGTGGTGTGTGCTAAGTGGTGTGTGCTAAGTGGTGTGTGCTAAGTGCTGTGTGCTAAGTGCTGTGTGATAAGTGGTGTTGACATTATGACCTGATGTCAGGAACACTGCTATAAATAAACATCGAAAACGCAGACGTTGTGCGATCAACCGCGTATATGTATCACCACTGTATTTGTGTCTCCACTGTATATGTGCGTCACCACTCATGTGTGTCACCACTGTATTGGTGTCACCACTCTATTTGTGTCACCACTCTATTTGTGTCACCACTCTATTGGTGTCGCCACTCTATTTGTGTCACCACTTTATTTGTGTCACCACTCTATTTGTGTCACCACTGTATATGACCGTCACCACTCATGTGTGTCACCACTATATTGGTGTCACCACTGTATTGGTGTCACCACTCTATTTGTGTCACCACTCTATTGGTGTCGCCACTCTATTTGTGTCACCACTCTATTTGTGTCACCACTCTATTTGTGTCACCACTGTATATGTGCGTCACCACTCATGTGTGTCACCACTGTATTGGTGTCACCACTGAATTGGTGTTACCACTGTATTGGTGTCACCACTGTATTGTTTTCACCACTGTATTGGTGTTACTACTCAATATGTGTTACCCTGTTCAGAGTCTTGTATAAAGCAGATGGGTTAGTCTAAGACAAAAATTAAATTGTGTAGACTTTGATCCAGTGCTGTGAAGTTCCATGCAATGTCTATCGTACATATGTCGACTGTGTAGCACACAAATCACCCCTCGACACCTACATTAGTAAACTCTTTAGAAGTCGTCTATAAATCGATTACAGTCTTTCATAAACTTTGTATAGGCCATACATGCTGATATATAAGTCGTGTGTATAGGCCACACATATATACATTGGGTATATAGGGATAACATTGCTGATATGTAAGTCGTATTTACATTTGTTTGTTTTTTTTTTTGTTTTTTTCGGCTTGTGAAGGCATGTAGCCTATATGTTTTTTTTTTGTAATTATATAACGATGTGTATTTATTTTTTAAAAAGTAAATGATCTTTATGACAATCAAATAAACATCGTCCCATATTTATACAAGTTTTAGATTCTCGTCAAACAATCAACATACAGTCAGTCAAAGAACTTGGACAGATTCTGTCAGACGACAGCCAGATGATTCTTTGGTTCAAACTTTCTTTCTTAGGATGGAGCCTAAGTTTCACTCTAGGTAATCGCCTGTTCGCTTAATGTACTCTAACCCTAACCCAACCTGTTCGCTTAATGTACTCTAACCCTAACCCAACCTGTTCGCTTAATGTACCCTAACCCTAAACCAACCTGTTCGCTTAATGTACCCTAACCCTAACCCAACCTGTTCGCTTAATGTACCCTAACCCTAACTCAACCAGTTCGCTTAATGTACCCTAACCCCAACCCAACCTGTTCGCTTAATGTACCCTAACCCTAACTCAACCAGTTCGCTTAATGTACCCTAACCCTAACCCAACCTGTTCGCTTAATGTACCCTAACCCTAAACCAACCTGTTCGCTTAATGTACCCTAACCCTAAACCAACCTGTTCGCTTAATGTACCCTAACCCTAACCCAACCTGTTCGCTTAATGTACCCTAACCCTAACCCAACCTGTTCGCTTAATGTACTCTAACCCTAACCCAACCTGTTCGCTTAATGTACTCTAACCCTAACTCAACCAGTTCGCTTAATGTACTCTAACCCTAACTCAACCTGTTCGCTTAATGTACCCTAACCCTAAACCAACCTGTTCGCTTAATGTACTCTAACCCTAACCCAACCTGTTCGCTTAATGTACCCTAACCCTAACCCAACCTGTTCGCTTAATGTACCCTAACCCTAACCCAACCTGTTCGCTTAATGTACTCTAACCCTAACCCAACCTGTTCGCTTAATGTACTCTAACCCTAACTCAACCAGTTCGCTTAATGTACTCTAACCCTAACTCAACCTGTTCGCTTAATGTACCCTAACCCTAAACCAACCTGTTCGCTTAATGTACTCTAACCCTAACCCAACCTGTTCACTTAATGTACCCTAACCCTAACCCAACCTGTTCGCTTAATGTACCCTAACCCTAACCCAACCTGTTCGCTTAATGTACTCTAACCCTAACCCAACCTGTTCGCTTAATGTACTCTAACCCTAACCCAACCTGTTCGCTTAATGTACCCTAACCCTAACCCAACCTGTTCGCTTAATGTACTCTAACCCTAACTCAACCAGTTCGCTTAATGTACCCAAACCCTAAGCCACGGAATCCCAAACTGGGGGGTCGCCCCCCCCCCTGGGGGTCGCGGGGGTCGCGAGGGGCTTTCTGGGGGGTCGCCAACTGGTATACTAAACCTTAGTAATGAGAAACAAAACATAAATCTTTAGAAGAATATATGAAATTCGGTTTTACTAACATCACTGGAAATGGAATAGAGAAGGAGCAATGCGTACTGTACAAAGTTGTTCTCAGTCACGAGTTAATGAAATTTTCAAATCTAAAACATTATTTGAGACGAGTCATTCGGAACACACACACAAAATATATGGAGTTCTTTCGTTAGTATGAAGCTAGTTGCAAGCGTCAGAGACTTGATCGAACAGGAAGTTTTCACACAGCATTAGTACAAGCATCTTATGAAGTCGCATTAGAAATTGCCACGCAAAAAAAAAAATAGGAAAAAAACTTATCAAACTCTGCAATTTGAAGATGGTGAAATTAATTCTTGGGGATTACAGTGCAATAAAAATGCAACAAATATCTCTGCCTAATAATACTATTCAGCGGCTTATAGCACACATGTCCGTAGATGTTAAATAACACATTTTTATTGAAATTAAGCTTTCACCATTGTTTGCTTTTCACGTTGATAAATCAACAGACGTCAGTTCGTGTTCGCAGTTGCTGGTCTTTGTCTATATTCTTTCAGATGATAGCAAAGAAGAGTTGCTATTTTGTGAAGATAGCACGGAGAAAATAAATACGTTTTTTTTTTAAAAAACTGGATGATTAAAACGGTTTAGAATGGCTGTGGGGGTTTATACGGATGGTGCGCCATCTGTTTAGGTCAAAATCGGGCTTTCAGAAAACAGAAAAGATTTAGCTCCCTAACCACTGCCCTCACCAATCGCTATCAAGACTCTTTTGCTAGTTTAAGTCGTAAATTATATAATATCTGGAGCCTTCAAAGAACTGAGCAAAGACATTTATATAGATCACGAGGTTCTGCTTTTATACACTACAGTACGCTGGCTGTCAAACGAAATATTGTAAATCGTGTTTTTTTAATTGAAATCTGAAATCAAATTGTTCTTGGAAGTGCAAAGGAAACAAGACCTTTAGGTATACTTAAAACGACATAGAGTGGTTGGAGAGAGTATCATACCTAGCAGATGTGTTCGAACATCAAGATAAGCTTAACCTGAAGCTTCAGGGAAAATGATCGAATATTATCACTTTCCATGATAATCTCGGGGCATTTTTATCAAAACTGCAAAATCGACGAAGAAAAAAATCTTGGAAATATTGTAAATTTGAGAAACTCTGCAGTGTGGTAGATAAATCTCATAGTGAGATAATTAAAATTTTGAAAAAACAATTTCTGGGCATCTTGAATCTCTTGAAAATGAACTGCAGCACCATTTCTCTGAGCTAAAAAATAGAAGATTCTGCATTGACGCATTACCCATTCTCTTCTTCCCTTGATGTTGCCAGCATTCCCGATAAATTACAAGATGAATTCTTTGATTTGCAGAATGATTCCGCGTAAGATGAAAAACTGCACACACAATTTTGGTGTAGTATTCACCATTCATACCCAAATGTAAAATTGATTGACTTTTCGAGAATCGATTTTCAACACTATTCTTCGATTAAAAACAAAATTAAGAAATAAATTGTATGTTGATAATGACATATAACAAAACCTTAACCACGAATGTTTAGTAAATAGCATGCAATTTTACTCATCGTATTAAAATAGTTATCAACAGTAGTTCATATTTAAAGTCTACTAGAAAATCTTATTTTAGTGCTTATTAATTTCCATACTAATTTCGGCTTTTTAATTCTATGGGGATCGCGGGTCACTTACTTTTTATAAAAGGGGGTAGCCGCTCGAAAAAGGCTGGGAACCACTGCCCTAACCCAACTAGTTCGCTTAATGTACCCAAACCGAACCAGTTCGCTTAATGTACCCTAACCCAACCAGTTCGCTTAATGTACCCTAACCGAACCAGTTCGCTTAATGTACCCTAACCCAACCAGTTCGCTTAATGTACCCTAACCCAACCAGTTCGCTTAATGTACCCTAACCCAACCAGTTCGCTTAATGTACCCTAACCCAACCAGTTCGCTTAATGTACCCTAACCCAACCAGTTCGCTTAATGTACCCTAACCCAACCAGTTCGCTTAATGTACCCTAACCCAACCAGTTCGCTTAATGTACCCTAACCCAACCAGTTCGCTTAATGTACCCTAACCCAACCAGTTCGCTTAATGTACCCTAACCCAACCAGTTCGCTTAATGTACCCTAACCCAACCAGTTCGCTTAATGTACCCTAACCGAACCAGTTCGCTTAATGTACCCTAACCCAACCAGTTCGCTTAATGTACCCTAACCCAACCAGTTCGCTTAATGTACCCTAACCCAACCAGTTCGCTTAATGTACCCTAACCCAACCAGTTCGCTTAATGTACCCTAACCCAACCAGTTCGCTTAATTTACCCTAACCCATCTAGATCGTACCTTTGAGAATTCCATCAGTTGTGTAATCTGAGATATTAATTGGAAATTATTTTTACACCATTTAATTTTCTATTTATTGGTAGATGTCACGATACTCATGTGTGTTCACGTCATATCGCATGTGTACATGCCATGACTCTTGTGTGTGTACACGTCATAAAACTCGTGTGTGTTGACGTCATGAACCAAATGAACTTTACTCCAGGTCAACACGGGTGCCCACCATGTGAGGTGGGAGAACCATGCGAGGTCAGCCTGACCCAGACGTTCAACCAATCAGCGATGGCCATGTTGTCCTGGCATAAAAACAGCGAGTTGATCAGCAACTGTTACCATAGCAACGGCGAGTGTATTGTCTCACCTTATCAGAGGAGGGTGCGGGCTACCCTGTACGTGAACAGCATGACCTTGACCTCCAGACTGAGGTGGCCTTCTACCTCTGGTGATGACCGGGGGGTGTACAGCGTCCAGGCCCACTATTCAAATAGGTCAACACGAGTTGTCTTCTCGTGCAGGCTGCACGTCTATGGTAGGTTATATGTGAACATGTCATACGTCTATGGTAGGTTATATGTGAACATGTCGCACGTCTATGGTAGGTTATATGGTGTGGAGGTGTAGGGTGGAGGTGTAGGGTGGAGGTGTTGCCTGGAAGTCTAGGGTAGAAGTGTAGGGTGGAGGTGTAGGTGTAGGCCCAGTGTAGGGTGTAGGTGTAGGCCCAGTGTAGGGTGGAGGTGTAGGGTGGTGGTGTAGGCCCAGTGTAGGGTGGAGGTGTAGGCCCAGTGTTGGGGGAAGGTGCAGGCCCAGTATAGGGTGGCGGTGTAGGCCCAGTGTAGGGTGGAGGTGTAGGCCCAGTGTCGGGTGGAGGTGTAGGCCCAGTGTCGGGTGGAGGTGTAGGCCCAGTGTAGGGTGTAGGTGTAGGCCCAGTGTTGGGGGAGGTGCAGGCCCAGTGTAGGGTGGAGGTGCAGGCCCAGTATAGGGTGGAGGTGTAGGCCCAGTGTTGGGGGGAGGTGCAGACCCAGTGTAGGGTGGAGGTGCAGGCCCAGTATAGGGTGGAGGTGTAGGCCCAGTGTCGGGTGGAGGTGTAGGCCCAGTGTAGGGTGTAGGTGTAGGCCCAGTGTTGGGGGAGGTGCAGGCCCAGTGTAGGGTGGAGGTGCAGGCCCAGTATAGGGTGGCGGTGTAGGCCCAGTGTCGGGTGGAGGTGTAGGCCCAGTGTAGGGTGTAGGTGTAGGCCCAGTGTTGGGGGAGGTGCAGGCCCAGTGTAGGGTGGAGGTGCAGGCCCAGTATAGGGTGGAGGTGTAGGCCCAGTGTTGGGGGGAGGTGCAGACCCAGTGTAGGGTGGAGGTGCAGGCCCAGTATAGGGTGGAGGTGTAGGCCCAGTGTCGGGTGGAGGTGTAGGCCCAGTGTAGGGTGTAGGTGCAGGGTGGAGGTGTAGGCCCAGTGTAGGGTGGAGGTGTAGGCCCAGTGTAGGGTGGAGTTGTAGGGTGGAGGTGTAGGCCCAGTGTAGGGTGGAGGTGTAGGGTGGAGGATTAGGCCCAGTGTAGGGTGGAGGTGTAGGCCCAGTGTAGGGTGGAGGTGTAGGGTAGAGGTATGGGCCAAGTGTAGGGTGGAAGTGATGGCCCAGTGTAGGGTGGAGGTGTAGGGTGTAGGTGTAGGCCCAGTGTAGGGTGGAGGTGTAGGGTGGAGGTGTAGGCCCAGTGTAGGTTTGAGGTGTAGGCCAAGTGTAGGGTGGAGGTGTAGGGTGGAGTTGTAGGGTGGAGGTGTAGGCCCAGTGCAGGGTGGAGGTGTAGGCCCAGTGTAGGGTTGAGGTGTAGGCCCAGTGTAGGGTGTAGGTGTAGGGTGGAGGTGTAGGGTGGAGGTGTTGCCTGGAAGTCTAGTGTAGAAGTGTAGGGTGGAGGTGAAGGCCCAGTGTATGGTGGAGGTGTAGCCCCAGTGTAGGGTGGAGTTGTAGGGTGGACGTGTAGGGTGGAGGTGTAGGCCCAGTGTAGGGTGGAGGTGTAGGCCAAGTGTAGGGTGGAGGTGTAGGCCCAGTGTAGGGTTGAAGTGTAGGCAGAGTTTCTTCCAGGCATCTCTTCGGGGGGGCGAAGCCCCCCCGAAAAATTTTTACCGCCCCCCCGAACGAAATGAAATTTATATAATTTATATAGAAAATATATACTTTTAACAGTGTCCGCCCCCCCGAAGAAAGTTTACCGCCCCCCCGAAGATTTCAAGTGCTCCCCCGGAGAAAAAAGTCTGGAAGAAACACTGAGTGTAGGCCCAGTGTAGGGTGGAGGTGTAGGGTGGAGGTGTAGGGTGGAGGTGTAGGGTGGAGGTGTAGGGTGGAGGTGTTGCCTGGAAGTCTAGGGTAGAAGTGTGGGGTGGAGGTGTAGGCCTAGTGTAGGGTGGAGGTGTAGGCCCAGTGGAGGTGGAGGTATAGGGTGGAGGTGTAGGGTGGAGGTGTAGGCCCAATGTAGGGTGGAGATGTAGGGTGGAGGTGTAGGCCCAGTGTAGGGTGGAGGTGTAGGCCCAGTGGAGGTGGAGGTATAGGGTGGAGATGTAGGGTGGAGGTGTAGGCCCAGAGTAGGGTGGAGGTGTAGGCCCAGTGGAGGTGGAGGTGTAGGGTGGAGATGTAGGGTGGAGGTGTAGGCCCAGAGTAGGGTGGAGGTGTAGGCCCAGTGTAGGGTGGAGGTGTAGGCCCAGTGGAGGTGGAGGTATAGGGTGGAGATGTAGGGTGGAGGTGTAGGCCCAGAGTAGGGTGGAGGTGTAGGCCCAGTGTAGGGTGGAGGTGTAGGCCCAGTGGAGGTGGAGGTATAGGGTGGAGATGTAGGGTGGAGGTGTAGGCCCAGTGTAGGGTGGAGGTGTAGGCCCAGTGGAGGTGGAGGTATAGGGTGGAGATGTAGGGTGGAGGTGTAGGCCCAGAGTAGGGTGGAGGTGTAGGCCCAGTGGAGGTGGAGGTGTAGGGTGGAGGTGTAGGGTGGAGGTGTAGGCCCAATGTAGGGTGGAGATGTAGGGTGGAGGTGTAGGCCCAGTGTAGGGTGGAGGTGTAGGCCCAGTGTAGGGTGGAGGTGTATGGTGGAGGTGTAGGCCCAGTGTAGGGTGGAGGTGTAGGCCCAGTGTAGGGTGGAGGTGTAGGCCCAGTGAAGGGTGGAGGTGTAGGCTGGAGGTGTAGGCCTAATGTAGGGTGGAGGTGTAGGGTGGAGGTGTATGCCCAGTGTAGGGTGGTGGTGTAGGGTAGAGGTGTAGGCCCAGTGTAGGGTGGAGTTGTAGGCCCAGTGTAGGGTGGAGTTGTAGGCCCAGTGTAGGGTGGTGGTGTAGGGTGGAGGTGTAGGCCCAGTGCAGGGTGGAGGTGTATGCCTAGTGTAGGGTGGAGGTGTAGGCCCAGTGTAGGGTGGAGGTGTAGGCCCAGTGTAGGGTGGTGGTGTAGGGTGGAGGTGTAGGGTGGAGGTGTAGGGTGGAGGTGTAGGCCCAGTGTAGGGTGGAGGTGTAGGGTGGATGTGTAGGCCCAGTGTAGGGTGGAGTTGTAGGCCCAGTGTAGGGTGGAGTTGTACTAAGTGTTAGGAATATTCGTAGTTTTTCTTTTAAAAAAATTGTACCTGAAATCACTAAAACCTGTCTTCCACAGAAAAATTGTAATCACTAAAACCTTTCTTCCACAGAAAAATTGTTCCTGATATCACTAAAACCTTTCTTCCACAGAAAAATTGTAATCACTAAAACCTTTCTTCCACAGAAAAATTGTAATCACTAAAACCTTTCTTCCACAGAAAAATTGTAATCACTAAAACCTTTCTTCCACAGAAAAATTGTAATCACTAAAACCTTTCTTCCACAGAAAAATTGTAATCACTAAAACCTTTCTTCCACAGAAAAATTGTAATCACTAAAACCTTTCTTCCACAGAAAAATTGTAATCACTAAAACCTTTCTTCCACAGAAAAACTGTCCGACACAAAATGTGACTGTTTGCTGACTACAGCTGGGGTAGATTTGACATGTGATACGGCACATTTGATGGCGTTCAGCAAATGTCTTTTTTATGTGTCCTGGGTCGGGGTAAGTCAAGGATAGTGTCAAGTTATATGGGATAGTGTCAAGTTATATGGGATAGTGTCAAGTTATATGGGATCGTGTCAAGTTATATGGGATCGTGTCAAGTTATATAGGATAGTGTCAAGTTATATGGGATAGTGTCAAGTTATATGGGATAGTGTCAAGTTATATGGGATAGTGTCAAGTTATATGGGATAGTGTCAAGTTATATGGGATAGTGTCAAGTTATATGGGATAGTGTCAAGTTATATGGGATAGTGTCAAGTTATATGGGATAGTGTCAAGTTATATGGGATAGGATGGTGCTATAGGATAGTGAATGGCTTTCGGGATAGGTGGGAGTAATGTGAGATAGAGTAAGGTATAAATGGGATATTGTGGGTTGACATGGGACGAAAAAGGATATAAAGGATAATATTAACATGAATGCTAAAGTAAAAGTCTGTTGCGAATAAGTGAAGAAATGTGTATATGATGAAATGTGTATGTGAAGAAAAGTGTATGTGTAGAAATGTGTATGTGAAGAAATGTGTATATGAAGGAATGTGTATGTGAAGAAATGTGTATGTGAAGAAATGTGTATGTGAAGAAATGTGTATGTGAAGAAATGTGTATGTGAAGAAATGTGTATGTGAAGAAGTGTATATGACGAAATGTGTATGTGAAGAAATGTGTATGTGAAGAAATGTGTATGTGAAGAAATGTGTATGTGAAGAAATTCGATGTTAAATTTAATGACCAGATACAGCATAACACTGTAGAGAATTTTCGCAAAAATATTAAACCTATGTTTGAATACCGCAAGTGCAAATTTGCACAACAAAATGCAATAGTATTAGTATTAATCATGTCAATTATCCAACCAAGTGTGTGCCCCCTAATGTCAACAACATGTCATGTCCACAGAGCCAGCCAACTGGGCAGACTGGGCAGACGACTGGGCAGACGACTGCTGTAGAAACAAGTGTGGCAGAAGATCCGCTACAAGACCTCACCGACTGCACCAAACACATCCCATTTGACGCCATCAAGCAAGGAGACTACAACATCAACATCTTTTTATTTGCAAACATTTCCTATCTTAAAGGGGATTTAGACTTGGGCACAAAATATGCCTTTCCTTCCATTTTTAGTTAGTGCTCCTTTTGTTTTTAATATACTCTAGCTAATAGCAAATGGATAACCTTCATTTAATACGATTATATTTGACAATGCCATGGGAAAAATAAAAATAAAAACAGATTTGTAAAGAATGTGCCGCTTCCTTTCTTGTCTGCTATTGAGCATTCAGAATAGAAAATGATTTTGTTTCTAGAAAACTTGAGCTCTCTTCAAAACCTGTTGGACTCGGCAGACGACAACACAAGTTTTACCTGCAGTCACCCGACAGGGGCAGGAGTGGAGGGGGTCACACAGGCGCAGGTGGTGACGTCACAAGAGAGTGTGTCAAACTCACAGTCAGGTTTGACTTTGTTGTGTTTTTTTTTTCCAGATCCTGATCTACGTCTAAATTACACTGGAATAAAGCCATGTTTTACTTTGATCTGTAAACCTCTGGACTAGATTTCTCACTGGCTTTTTTTAATACATGGGACTGGGGTTAGGGTTAGGGTTAGGGTTAGGGTTAGGGTTAAATAAATGTTTTTGCCGTTTATCTTCAAGTAACTGTAACTTGTTGGGCAACTCGCTAGTCTTCATAGCAATCAAATATCAGCAAACTCCTCAACAACATGCTAAAAAAGTTCGTGTACTGACCTCACTACATGCTGTATGTAAACATAATAGGGTTATCTACATGCTGTCTTATAACACTAGTGGGTTGTCTACATGCTGTCTGTAAACAGTGGTAGTAGACTCTAGCTGTAGCAGCTAACATAGTAGACTCTAGCTGTAGCAGCTAACATACTAGACTCTAGCTGTAGCAGCTAACATAGTAGACTCTAGCTGTAGCAGCTAACATAGTAGACTCTAGCTGTAGCAGCTAGCATAGTAGACTCTAGCTGTAGCAGCTAGCATAGTAGACTCTAGCTGTAGCAGCTAACATAGTAGACTCTAGCTGTAGCAGCTAACATAGTAGACTCTAGCTGTAGCAGCTAACATAGTAGACTCTAGCTGTAGCAGCTAACATAGTAGACTCTAGCTGTAGCAGCTAACATAGTAGACTCTAGCTGTAGCAGCTAGCATAGTAGACTCTAGCTGTAGCAGCTAGCATAGTAGACTCTAGCTGTAGCAGCTAACATAGTAGACTCTAGCTGTAGCAGCTAACATAGTAGACTCTAGCTGTAGCAGCTAACATAGTAGACTCTAGCTGTAGCAGCTAACATAGTAGACTCTAGCTGTAGCAGCTAACATAGTAGACTCTAGCTGTAGCAGCTAACATAGTAGACTCTAGCTGTAGCAGCTAACATAGTAGACTCTAGCTGTAGCAGCTAACATAGTAGACTCTAGCTGTAGCAGCTAACATAGTAGACTCTAGCTGTAGCAGCTAACATAGTAGACTCTAGCTGTAGCAGCTAACATAGTAGACTCTAGCTGTAGCAGCTAACATAGTAGACTCTAGCTGTAGCAACTAACCAAGCAATGTTCTACCCCCCCCCCCCGCCAGGGTCCACGAGTGCCCCCACCTGCCCCCCTGCCCGCCCACACCGGTGTTTCAGCACCCAGTCCTGCTACACAGACGACGAGTTTTGTCTGGTGGGGACAATCGAGCTCTGTAGCTCCCCCCACAGCTCACCCCACAGCTCACCCCACACTGATCTGGCCCAGCTACAGGAGTGGTGCACGTGCATAGATCGCTTCAATACGTCATCAATTAGACTGATCAAGTGTGGCCTTGACCTTTACAGAGAGACCCAGGCTTCTCAAGGTAAGACATGTCATCGTCACATGTTTCTAGTTTTATGTGACATTTGTCTTACAGTCGTCTGTCATCGCGGCATGTATATTGTGACATGTGTTATATGCCATCGTTTCATATGTCATCATAACATATGTCATCATGACATTTATCATAGTGACATGTTTTTATCAAGTGTATCTGTGCGTGAGCGTGCATGCGTGAGTGTGTTTGTGGGGGAGGGGTGCTGAAATTTGGCACCATGTTTAAAAATTAGTGTATGGAATGAGGTCGGCATGGTCGTGTCGGTTAAGCGCATAGTTTACTAAACAGATAAGCCCCGAGTTCGAATCACTGCTGCCTTTAAACTGTTTTGGAGGAAATCACTCCCAACACTAAAATTAAGAGCGAAGCAGCAGAAGATTACATTGCACAATAAAACAAACTAACACAATTTTAAAATATACAAGCGATTACAATATCGAGATCACAAGCTACTGGAGAAATATTCCCTTTCTTAGTGAGTTCAAGGATAGGTTCAGTTTACAAGAAATATTGAAATCGAAAACGAGATTTTCACAAATCTCGACGTTTTACACCTCCCTGAGAAGGAACTTATTTTTGCAATTTTGTCCGCATGTGTGTTAGTATGTGTGTATGAGTGTATGCGTGTGTGCATTTGTGTGTATGTGTGTCTAAGAACATATGAGTATTACATCAAACTTGTAGTTCTGTACCAACTTTCCAGTGATTTTCCGGTAACCGGAAATGGAATTCATTTTACTTTCGCTTTTTCAAAAGCCAATTACTTGAGTACTGTTACTGATAGATAATTTAGATCAACAATTTAACTTTATTTTTTTCTGATTTACAGATGAAAAAAACGAAAATTTTCACTACCTATGGTTTCTAGCCGTTATCCCGATAGGTTTGTTTACATTTTAATTTTAAACGCAAACCCCCACCGCACATAACATCCTAACCCTATCCCCATATAACACATTAAAGTACAACAAAACAAACTGTAAACCTTAACCCACTAAAGATATTACAGTACAAAATAACAAACTAACCATGCCTCTAACCCTGATAATAACCCTGACCCTAACCCTGACACTAACCATGACACTAACCATAACCTTAACCCATACACAAACCCTAACCAAACCCTAATCCTAACCTTGACCCTAACCATGACACTGACCCTGACCCTAACCCTGACACTAACCATGACACTAACCATAACCTTAACCCATACACAAACACTAACCGTAACCCTAATCCTAACCTTGACCCTAACCATGACACTGACCCTGACCCTGACCCTAAACCTGACCCTAACCCATCTCATCTGTATTATTGACAGCCGCTGCCGTCGCTTTCATTCTCTACCTGATCAAGTCAAGAGGAAATAACTCAGCAAGGTCAAGGTCAGTCAGTCACGTGACATATTCAACCGCCTGTTTATTAAAAGTCAATCTGTATAGCTGGGTCATCTCAACTTTATCTACCCACATTGTTCACATAAAACATGTAGCCTACCCATATAGTTCACCTAAAACATGTAGCCTACACATATAGTTCACATAAAACATGTAGCCTACACATATAGTTATACTAAAACATGTAGCCTACCTATACAGTTCACCTAAAACATGTAGCCTACCCATATAGTTCACCTAAAACATGTAGCCTACCCATATAGTTCACCTAAAACATGTAGCCTACACATATAGTTCACATAAAACATGTAGCCTACCCATATAGTTATACTTAAACATGTAGCCTACACATATAGTTCACAAAAAACATGTAGCCTACCCATATAGTTCACCTAAAACATGTAGCCTACCTATACAGTTCACCTAAAACATGTAGCCTACCCATATAGTTCACCTAAAACATGTAGCCTACCCATATAGTTCACCTAAAACATGTAGCCTACCCATATAGTTCACATAAAACATGTAGCTTACCCATATAGTTCACATAAAACATGTAGCCTACCCATATAGTTCACATACAACTTGTAGCCTACCCATATAGTTCACATAAAACATGTAGCCTACCCATATAGTTATAATTAAATATGTAGCCTACACATACAGTTTACATAAAACATGTAGCCTACACATATAGTTAACATAAAACATGTAGCCTACTCATATAGTTATAATTAAACATGTAGCCTACCCATATAGTTATACTAAAACATGTAGCCTACCCATATAGTTCACATAAAACATGTAGCCTACCCATATAGTTATAATTAAACATGTAGCCTACACATACAGTTTACATAAAACATGTAGCCTACCCATATAGTTCACATAAAACATGTAGCCTACCCAAATAGTTAACATAAAACATGTAGCCTACCCATATAGTTATAATTAAACATGTAGCCTACCCATATAGTTCACATAAAACATGTAGCCTACCCATATAGTTCACATAAAACATGTAGCCTACCCATATAGCTCTACTTAAACATGTAGCCTACCCATATCCTAATATATAAAAGCCCATGTGCGCACTTCCAGCCGATCAAACACTATTTTCTATGAAAGACTCAATGAAATTATCAATGACAGAGTCAATGATAACTACCGCTCTCCTGTATTTTTCTCTTAAGAAACTCAATGATAAAGCGTTAGTAGTTATAAAGAGAGAGAGAGTTTATCAAAACGGAAATAATTCAACTCGTTTAATTAATAAAGCGTTAAACGTAATTATTAATTCTTAATTTCTCAGCGATTGATACAATTGTTTAGGGACAGTTAAACTATTTTTTTAAAAATATAGATCCTCGATCTTCATTTATAATTTATTAATTAAAATAAGATTTTTAAAAAATAATTAAAACAGGTCTTTGTACTATATTATTAAAAAAAACAACTAATGAATATAATAAATAATTTTGACTATTTCTCATTCTAAACCTATCTAATATCTTTTTTTTTTTAAATGCAAGGTAATCTTTTATAGAACCTACATGATTAACTTTTCTTCTAATCATAAAAAAAAAAACTCTAAATAAAAACTATTATTCCTACAAATATTAGAGTAGTCTCCCTTGACAGTTTCTATTCGAATGTATTTTGTGTTAATTTTTGTTATGAAATACAGTTGACTTTTTAAATAAATTATATAAGAAAACGATCTATCTCTGTGTATAATTATTTTTAAAAAATATTATTACAATAATTAGAATAGGTGTTACTGGTTAAATAGCAATTATTCTCATTCTAAATCTTTGGCTATCGAGTTTCATGGGTTTTTAAATTTAAGATTCTGAACACATTGGCTTGACGAAAATGATTATATACACTTAAATACATACTAAAATTTACTTTTGTTAATAAACCTACACTATTTTATGCACACATACAAAAAAGAATATTTTAGCGACAGTTACAACGTAAAAAAAAAAAAGGAATCTCCTTTATACTGAATAGTTCTACGTAACAACAAAAATGTAAAAATACATAGTCCTAGAGCACACTAACACATACATATATACATACGAAGATATGTGTTTGTGTAAGTAGGATGTGAGGTGTGTAGACAGGCGGGGTGGAAGGAAAGCAGTTTGGCAGGAATAACGGTAGGTAGGAAAGTAGGTAGGCAGGCAGCAGCGCAGGCAGGTTAGTAGATAGGTAGGTACGTAGGCAGGGAGTAAGGTATGTAGGTAGGTGGGCGTAGGTAGGAAGGCGCCTCACTCGGTATAGTGAGCGATTATAGTAGCCCATCATATTCATAGCGTTTCGCAATTATTAAAACGAACAAAGGTACCATAGTACTCACGGGAAAACCCGGGGAGCTAAATGGAACCCTGCCAGGGCGCCACCAAATCGATTTTTTATTCGTAGAAACCACCACAGGGGTATTAGCAATAACTTCTCAAATTTGAATGACAAACGAATGAAATCTTTGATAATGCTTAAACAAACAAACCCACATATTCGTTTTTGGGGCGCGGGTTTGTCCACACTGTCGCCTAGACGCACCAAGGCTCACCTAACCCTAACCCTAACCCTAACCCTAACCCTAACCGCTCATTATTCTACTTAGTGAACATTTATAGTAGCCCATCTAAACCGTAGTGTCGCTCTGGGCCACTCAACCGCCGGGGAGCTGGCGGATGAACCTGGTGTAGTTTTATCACTGAATCTCAGAGGCGTAGCACCATTCCTGGTGCCTAGGGACAAATTTTCAATTTGGCGCCCCCCCCTCCTCCCGCCGGAGACAAACTTTCAATTTGGCGCCCCCTCCCCGTATTTTTTAAATATTTATAATGCAAAACTATAGCTAAAATGAGCTTTTAAATTTTTCCAACCATTTTGGCGCCCCTAGGGTTGGCGCCCGGGGACATATGTACCCCCGCCCCCCTCGCTGCGCCTCTGCTGAATCTAGTATTACCTATGACCGCAATTGATCAGATAGCCCCTCTGGATTCCCCTCTGGATTCTGAGCTCATAATCGTATAATTAGAAAAATCGAACCCTCCCAGGGTGCCACACTTAAGAATTTTTTTCTTTCTCGAAACCCTTTTCACCAACTACCCAAAATTTTATGACTCTCGTACGAACAGTGTCAAATTGCATCTGGCTTTTATTTTTATGGAAAAAAATTGCATTGCTTCCTGTCAGAGACCCCAGATCGAATGGGGCGCCAAAAGGGGTAGACAATTTTAAAAAAAATCCTCATTCTTCAGTAAAATTTAAGAAAACAGATTTATACATGGCTGATATCCTCAATTATTTTATATAGGGGAGTGTATGTAGGGATGGGCGCCTTTTTGCCAGCCTTTAAAAAGGGTTGGCACATAATTGATAGTTCGCCCCGGCTGCCGGAATAGGTTGCTACGCTTCTGCTTCCTGCTAGGGTGCCGCCCTGGCGAAATCTTTCCGGGGGGGGGGGGGGGGGGGCGTGCGGACACTGTTAAAAGTATTTTTTTTTCTATATAAATTCCGTTTCGTTCGGGGGTGGGGGGGGGGGGGTCGATAGACTTTCTTCGGGGGGTGGGGGGGCTCTGCTTCCCCCCCCCCCCCCCCCCCCTCCGAATAGATTCCTGGAAAAAAACTCTGTTCACAAAGTTTTATGGCGATCCGATGAAAAAGATGTAGTAATTCATATAGGACAAACAGATAAACATACTTTCTATAAAAATAAATAGATATATAGGGCCTACTTTAACTAGTGTCCGTAGACCCGCACCCGGAAACTTAGTCACAATTTTCTTTGTTACATTTGAACCCTTTAGGTTAATCAATTTTCAATATTAACAAAATTGAACAAGATGCAACAAATACAGTTAACCAAGAAATTGAACAAATAAAATTCACGTTATCTTTTTATTGTTTTTAGATACAGAGTAGTAACAGACTACCTACAGGTCCTAACTCGCGACGAGGTACACATTTGTATTAAAACACACATCTAAGACATTTTCCATTTAGGTGGGTTTTGCAGTACAGTGGTTTCTTAAGTCGTGGACAAGTGATTGCGCTTAACTCTGTTGAGTAGCTATGTATTCTGTCCTATATTAGACACATTTGTAAATATCTGTCACAATATGGGCATATAGATGATATAACGATAGCTTATCTTTGCGGACGACGCTAAACTTTGGCATCGACACCACGGCCTACAAGTTCAAATTCGGTCCTTCAGAAATGTTTGAAGTCTCTAGATTAAAACTACTTTTCTCTTTTATGTACCTACTGACCACATCACATGCATTTGTTATGAAAGTCTAAAAACAGAGGCACAAATATATCGTCTAGACTTGTGAGGTCTACAGATTAGGTATTTTGGCAGTTATCTAAGCCCTTGCCTGTTCTAACTCAAAGCCTTATTCTTTCTCTATCGACGCCTTTCGTAACATGGGATGGGTTTTTAAGGCGGCATAAAGCTTTATGTTGTTCCTTTTTGAGTACACTAGATTAAAAACCAACGTTTTCAGATGCCTAACGATGTTTAACCACTAATTAATCAGAATAATGGGTCAAGATTTCAATTCTTGGTTTTGGGACACGTTAGTTGCCGGGGTTGAGCTAATGTCGATAATAATTGAATGGTTGATGGGGCTTCTTCAAGGGTTTGATTTGCCGTAATGTTAATGATATCATGCATGTGCGGCTTTTCTTAGAAGAAAATGCGTTTAAACACTTTTTAGTTATGCTTTTTTTAAATAGGCCTATATTTTACGACATCATAATCGTAATGAACAATAAAATGAATTTAAACAACTTTAGAATACACCTGTTTCGGCTAACATGAATGTTATTCTTCAAACTAGTAATGTTAAACGTGTCTTTTTCGCATTTTCGCATTTTCGACTTATAAGCAATACAGTAAATTCCGATAACGTCCATATGCATACAAGCAATGGCGTAGGCGAGGAGGGGTTTAATAGTGATTTAAT